GTTCAATATATGAAGGGCAGCCGGTTTGCTTTAGGTCTGAAAAGGTGCCTTATGCAACAATATTGCTGATGTATAACCAGTATTTCGTAACTGACTTTTCATAACTGAATTACACATTGCAGTTCTGGAGAAGGACTGCTGTTGTTGGCACCTCTAGTGGCTATTTTATGTATTTATAGGCACATACATGTTTTTGGTTTTTTCCAGTACTGATAGTTTGCTCACTAGTTCACTACTGACTAAATGATTACATCATCCCACTATAAGAATAAGTATATTTAGGTTAGCAACTATTCCTTGATTACAGGTTACATCTGTTGTTACTCAGCTGGTTGTTATAGTATCTATGTTTAGTGAATTTTATTTTATTTCTTGAGAACTAAATAAATATGTAAAATTTTGTTGTATACAAACATTTAAATTATGGGGTGTATAATTAGTGTTTCTTGGTTGCAATCCTAGTTAGAGTAGTGGGTATTTTCTTCCCGGTCAGGGGCAAAAATAAAATCTTAACCTGCACAGTCGTCCATGGTGGCTGCACTAGCCATGTGATCCTAAATCTTCAGGCTCAAGACCCCCTTCCCCCCCCCCCCCCCGTTACAACTCCCAAAATCATTCATTGTACTTTTCCCTCTTTCCAGATGATACTGTTATATTGTGTTGTATTCAGCAATGGAAATGACAGTTCTGTGGCAAGGGTGGGTGTTATTAGCAAGACCAGCCTGCATTCAGAAAAGTCCTCCACAATTAGAGCATTCAGTTTCAGGACCATTGTTATAATTATTTTGTCTTCTTTGTGTTCACCAGCTGTAAACTCTGGCGTTAATTTTTGGTTGTTCATCCGCACCTGGACTATGGTCTTGATTCAGGACTTGAGTTTTGCATGCTCACCTGGTTTTACAGATTTGTCTTATTTGTATGCAGACTATTAGTTCCCTGCCTCTCAGGCAGATGCACTCTTACTGTGAAGAAAACACCTCTGATTAGTCGCCCCTACAACATGCTTTTTTTGTGGGGTTTGGGGGGGGGGGAGGTGGTGGGGTGTATTCATTGTTTTCTAAAACAGAACCCTGGAACCTGCCCAGATTTTATGCGTTTAACTTGCTTTTTCTCAGACACTCACTCTCAAATATATATTTTATAACAGACATTAAAATGGACAGTTTTACATTTACAATCTGTGCTAACAATTTTTGTGAATCAACTTAACCAATAAGCTGTATGAGTCCAAATATATCTCGTATTCTTTAATCCTGATTAAACCTGGACTGCTTTGTTAGTGAGCCAGAGTACTAACCATTGTAATACTTCAACTCTCAATTAACAATTTTTACTAAGCCAGAATACTAACCATTGTACTACTTCAACTCTCAGTTAACAATTATTGGTGAGCCAGAGTACTAACCATTGTACTACTTCAACTCTCAGTTAACAATTATTGGTGAGCCAGAGTACTAACCATTGTACTACTTCAACTCTCAATTCACAATTATTAGTGAGCCAGAGTACTAACCATTGCACTACTTCAACTCTTAATTAACAATTATTAGTGAGCCAGAGTACTAACCATTGTACTACTTCAACTCTTAATTAACAATTATTAGTGAGCCAGAGTACTAACCATTGTACTAATTCAACCCTCAATTAACATTTATTAGTGAGCCAGAGTACTAACCATTGCACTACTTCAACTCTCAATTAACAATTTTTAGTGAGCCAGAGTACTAACCATTGCACTACTTCAACTCTCAATTTACAATTATTAGTGAGCCAGAGTACTAACCATTGTACTACTTCAACTCTCAATTTACAATTATTAGTGAGCCAGAGTACTAACCATTGCACTACTTCAACTCTTAATTAACAATTATTAGTGAGCCAGAGTATTAACCATTGCACTACTTCAACTCTCAATTAACATTTATTAGTGAGCCTGAGTATTAACCATTGCACTACTTCAACTCTCAATTAACAATTTTTAGTGAGCCAGAGTACTAACCATTGCACTACTTCAACTCTTAATTAACAATTATTAGTGAGCCAGAGTACTAACCATTGTACTACTTCAACCTTCAATTAACAATTATTAGTGAGCCAGAGAACTAACCATTGCACTACTTCAACTCTCAATTAACATTTATTAGTGAGCCATATTTCTAACCTTTGCACTACTTCAAATCTCAATTAACATTCATTAGTAAGCCAGAGTACTAACCAGTGCACTACTTCAACTCTCAATTATCTAGTCATCCCCAAGTGAGATGCAATTTTTTTGTTATTTGTAGCCCCACCCTGGCTTCTGCCGGGGGCCCTAAATATTGCCAGGCCATAAATATGGCTGCATGGGGTTTCTGGGACCTCTCCACGGGTGATCCTCATCCTCATGGTGGCACTTTGTGTCACAGGGTGTTTATCCCTTGTGTGATATCCTGGTGGGGTACAGCTACCTACCTGCCAATCTACTTCAACTCTCAATAGCAAATGTTATTTTGAGAGCCACAGTAACAGTAGCAGCTAGACATTAACCTGGTGTTCTAAGGGTCTTCTATTCAAATCTGCATTGAGTCAGTTTAAACCCCCCCCCCCCCCCCCCCCTCAAAAATTGACATTGGCTCCCAGGTCAAGCCAGCCTAAAATGGGTAGCAGGTAAATCTACAGAAGTAAAGGTGGCCACTGTGATGTTGACCATATTACCCATCGAATGCCGATTTGTCTACAGTAATATGAGTCTAGCATCATATTCTCGATATGCCACATTAATTAAAAAGGGTCTTTTACTTTTAGTTTTTAACTAAGTGTCATCTCACATGTGTCATTTAGCAATTACCAGATTGCAGTACTACTTTTAATTTAGACTGTCATGCGCAGTGCTTGATAAGTTATGTCAGATAATTGAATTTCTGATGTTAAGATATGTAATCTCGGAAATTGAGGTCAGACACAGATGATCTCCAGGTCCACTTACCTGGATATCAGTTATTTATTTCAACATGACCGGGATGCAGTGAAAAAGTTAATTAAAAAATCAGAAGCTGAGTTTAGCTGAAGTAAGAACTGACATCACAGGACTCTAATATGAAGAGAATACAGAGAGTGGTGTAACAGTATGGCAGAATTAGAGGTACAACAACTGATAGATGAAAACATTAGATGATGCAGTAGTGTACACTGATGGTTCAGTTTATTAGGGTATAAGATTTGGCTGGGGACTAATGTGGCATGAGTGGATACTATGCATCAGTACGCCAACATTGCAGGGAATCACATGGATATACTGTCCGGGACATGCAGGAGTGCGAGGGAATGAAAAAGTGGATTATCTGGCTACAAATGCAAAAGCTACGGGAACACCCGTATTAGACAAGGGAGATATTCTGAAGACCATTTATGAACGACTTTTGGCAAAAAACACGAGATTAGATGAAATAACATGGCCAAGAATGTGTGAACGAGGAATTAAGTGTGGATCCGGCAAGGAGGGATGGATGACAGGCAGAGATCAGCATGTGTATAATCAGTATGCTACGGGAAAAGTTAGCATCTACACCTTACGTCATTTGCTGCGGGAGACAGAGCATCTATGGGTATGCCCGGTGTGCTATGATGTTGATTCTCAAACCAGTAAATCAGTAATCAGGACTCTTGTCTTTTCCCTGAGTGTAGAATGTCGGCCAGATCTCCTGGTCACCACCACTGCACCATATTTTCAGACCATGATTATCTGTTCGTGCATCCTCACTGTTTACTTAACTCCCAGAGGGCCCTGACAACATCAGGCTTGTGCAGCCATTTGCCGCCAAGTGGTGCAGAACTAGCAGGTCTATCTTTCTGTTTATTTCCCAACACACCTGCATACCATGGAGAAAATATTCAAAATTATGCTAACTACCCCCGGACCTCTGAATGGATGCTTGCCACTCTGCATACCTGTCTCCACCTTTCTCAACATGCTTTGTAAATCAGTTACAATCATGACATGTGTGCAGCTGATTCTCAAGCCAGGGGAGGGCTGCAGTGACTACCTTAACCTCCATTTTCAACTTAGATGTTGTAAAGTAATTATAGCTGAAAACGCAGAAGACCTACAACAACTATTAAACATTGTGGTCCAAGAGAGTGCAAAAAAACGGACTCTTCTTGAATATTTAAAAAAAACTCACAGAAATGCTGGTTATATCAAAGAAGAAGATAACTTCAAAATGTGACACAGCTATAGAAGGGAAAATGCTTAACCAAGTCAATAAATTCCAGTATTTGGTAACATTCATAACATCAGATGGATGATGTGTGACAGAAATTAAGAGCAGAATTGGCCAGGCAAAGGCAGCTTTTCAGAAGATGACAAGTATTTTAAGTAAAAAAATCACTCTTCCATCTCTTTCTTGGTGGGCCTCATGACTTGTAACCTGCTGCAGTGGAAACAGTGGTCCTTTAAGTTTCCAGAAACCATGAGTTGTAAACCCTTTGGTACTATGGATATCGCAACCCTTCGGCCTTTGTTCCATGATCGATACAGTAAATCTGGGAGGAGTGTGGCTTTTCTACCTACCTCCTGGGGGGTGAACTTGAACCACAAGGAATTCGTCACCCGGTCACCACGCAGTCTGGTTTAACCAACTGCGCTAGCCAGCAGGGCACAGTGGTTCTAAAGACCATGATCTGATTGTGGAAAACTTTTCTTAATGCAATGTATGTTTTGCTAGTCACTGACCTTAGACATGGGCTGTAGTTTTCATGCCTTCTTAAAGCACAAGATAATACTGTCATTGAGGGAAAAAATTAAATGGTATCATTAGTGCTCGAAACACATATAAAGGACAGAAGAAAATAATGTTTTTTTGTGATATGATGATTCATGAAGACAAAAACAATAAAAATAATTTCATATTTAATGTTTCTTCTGTTTGCAGACATCAAAAGCTTTAAATGAGTACAGACTCCACGTGCTGTGATATTTATGACCATATTGTGTAAATACAGTGCTAGTGAACTGTACAGAAATGTCATTTTTAAAATTCCGGCTGCTCTTGTGGAAAAACTTTCTGATTCAAAAACGGAAACCAATTGCAACATTTTTCGAGATAGGACTTCCTACACTGTTTTCATTTATTCTGATGATTTTACGTCTGCGAGTGGTGTCCACACCTCACCCAGACGTGACTCACTTCAGTCCCTGTGACTACACGAAGCTGAGACCACAGCTGAGGGTCCCCTTCATCCTTGCTTACAGCCCTAAATACAATTTGACAGACAGAATCATGGAAAGAGTACAAACAACACTTAATATGAGTAAAGGTAATAATTTTCTTTTTATATTTATTAATTAAGTTTGTTTTGTATACTGCAAGTCACATTCTAAAGAGTTTAAAGGAAGTAAACCAAGAAGACGATCAAGAAGACAGTAGAGAGATAATATACAGGCAAACCTACGAACACTTAGAGTGACCAAATGGAAATAGAAAGCCAATTTCCCTTGTGGTTTCCGGCCCCTATTGTGGAAAACCAAAAAAATAGACCCACTATTTCCTAACAAGCATGTCGTACGAGTCGACTAATTAGGTATGTTTTCTTCAAAGTCGGATTGATGATGAGATTATGCCTTTCAGCATCAGGTTTGGTGTGTACTTACTTGCTTCTGGTATGAAATGAGAAAGTTTCTTTTTATGTGTGTGTGTGCCAAATCTGATTTGATCATGAAAGAGGGCAGTATCTGCTATGAGACTCACTTATCATTATCTTACTTTCATTGTAGGCTTACTTTAAAAAATCTTCTTCTATTCTTCTTCGCGTTCACCGGCTGTGAGCTCCGGCAGAAAGTTCTGGTTGTTCATCCACTTCTGTACTCTAGTCCTGTTCCAGAACCTGAGTGTTGCATGTACATCCATTTCACAGGTCTGACTCATTTGCATGCAGGCTGTTGGTTCCTTGTCTCTCAGGCAGATGTACTCCGTCTTTGAAGGAAACTCCCAATTAGTTGACTCTTATGACATGCTTTTGGGCAGGCAGTGGGTCTGTTCTTGGTTTCTATACAACTGGGCCTCGGAACCCACAAAGGGAACTTTAAAAATCAACCTATGACTAAATGCTAGGTAAAAACACAGGGCTAGGTTTAACAACATATATAAGGATGCATGAATTTGATGTTAAGAGGGGGTCCTGCAAAGGATCGGGCACATAATGATGATGATAATGATTTTTTTTTTGGGTAGCCAAAAAAGTGCTGGTATTCACACAAAAAGTGTCTAAAAAGGTCCCAGTACTTACTGCAGTATCTGTTACAGTAGAGTTGAAAAAAATTATACCTAAAAAGATGTTGGTACTGCTTACCGTTGAGTACAGCCAGATGATGATGATAGTGGGTTAGATATTGAGGAACTTCTAGAAAGAACAGTATGGCTTATTTGCAGCCAGTCTGTTATTGAAACAATTAGTATCTATATTTGCTGCAAACAATGGAGCATCTATGGGTATGCCCATTACATTGTGATATTGATGCTTACAAATCGGTCACGTCAGTTACTGCACAAAAAACTAATATTAAAATGGTATGTAAGTATTTTAAAAAGACATATTATGTAAACCTTATCGCCTCAAGAAGCTGCAAAACTTGCATTTCTGGTTTTTGCCATGCCCGTAAATGTTTCTTTACTGACTTGCTATAGTGGCTGGTTCTTGAGAAGCACATCTGACAGAATTGGCATTGTTTGCATCTGCACAAGCATTCAGGAAGACCGGAATGGATTATATTTACTATAAATAGTATGGGTAGTGGGGAAGTTACTTGGGAATAGATAGGTATTTTCCCATTACCACTAGTGGTAACCCAGCGACCGCGCTAGGGGGTAAGGTCACCATATACAAATGTTATGGTCTGAGGAAGGTAAACTAGTTATTTTCTCTGTTACATTCATATTTACTTATTATTCTTACTGTTTGGAAAATTAATATTGTTTTGCTCTCTAAATGGAACCATTAGGATTTATTTTGTGACTGGTTTAAAATGTTTTTATAAAGAATGTTTTTTCTGGAATTCCTGATATGCGAGTAGTTGGCTTTGTTTAGGTCACCGGGGTGAAAGGGTTAATTCTGTTTTGTTCTAACTGCTCACAGTCGTATTTATTTTGTGCACAATTCTACAGAGGGATTCCCAGATGAGGAGACAATGGTAAACTACATCACGCTGGTCAACAATTCAGATGGTCAGAATATCAACAATTCTAAGGTGTATCTGGGAGGAGTTGTCTTTGATCAAGCTTTGAACACTGACAATGGAACTGCACAGCTAAAGAACAAAGCAGCCTTTAAGATAAGACTGAGCTATGCACCACGGATAACCTCAGACAACATTGGCAAGATCTCTTTCAGCAGTGACACCTCCTGGTCAACGGACCTGATGTTTCCTCCTTATCAAGTTGTTGGGCCACGAGATGGTGAATCTCCCTGTGGCAATAACCCTGGTAAGTCTTTACATGAAAGGTTAAGTATTTTATCTCATGGCCGGTGGTGGTCAGGTGGTTAGACGAGCTGATTAGTTCTGTGAATAATTTAAATTATTCCACAAAATATTGCCTGGCATTTTTCGCTGTATCTCGTCAGGTGCAAACTACAGTGACAATTACATATTGTTTATGTAGTATGCACCTGATGAGATATAGAGAAATATGCCGGGCAATAAATTGTGGAATCTATTGTTTGTGTCTTCTTTGCTCAAATTTACAACTGGGAAACATTGCTTTGAATTATATTATTCCATTATAATGTTAGGTGAAATAAAATTTTTAAAAATTGGTACCTATGCGTTACAGATCAACGATGAAAACAACAGGGAATGAAGTAGAGTAAAAGAAAAGTAAAGGACCCTATTCCACGTCTTTAGGCGTATAGGGCCTACAGGGCTAGACCTATATTTTTATAGACCAATCGGCACAAGATGGGTGACGTGGTCAGCATCACGCTGGTTGCCTTTACTTTCCCGGGACTGCACCCGGTACCTACTCAAGGCTGGGTCGACCTGGGAGCCAAGGTCAAATGAAGTAGAAGCAGTAATGAAATTCATAATCTGGTTAAATCAACATTGATCACTGGCATTATGAGGGTTAATAAACTGAAATAGCTGTGGCGTATTGAGAAAACAGCAGATGGCAGAGAGACAAGCTGTGTGCAGAAGGGTGTTGAATGGCTGCAGACCCCAAGGGCAGACCAAGAAGATGGCGGAGAGATACAGGCAGACCTACAAACACTTTGAGTCATAGAGAGATAAACTGAGGTGCTTGATATCTGCATCAATCAACCTTAAGGGCTTGGAATGCTGAAGAAGACCAGTGTGTTACTAGAGTCCATTTGGAAAGCAGTAAAACTTAAGACTACCATGTATGTCATAAGAGACAACTAGGAGGATTGGCATTATCCTGGCTACTCCATCCCATAGTAAACAAGCTGAAAAATCCAACCAGTTCTGAACTAGTCTACAAAAGGCTTGTCATGGGTTGGTTGAGGACCTTTGCTTTATTGGGAGTTAAAAGATGGTAAGAACCATTAACTAAGTGTAGGAAATGACTAGACGAGGAGCACAGGAAGACTGAGAAAGATATTGTGAAATGTAAGCACATTGGCACCATCATCAAAATAGCAGCTGATAGTAAGGATTGAAGAGTCTTGGAAGCTAATGATTGCTCCAGACCAGGCTACTGAAGAAGATTATTATTTGATCATTTATTACTGCATGGACACAAGGCTGTATTATATTTTTTTCTTTATGATGAGGACTGCAGTATAATTATAATTATTGAGAAAGATCAAATAATCACAGTTTCCACATCACAGTAAACGGGTCTGCGTAGTTGCTCTGTTTCTGTGCCAATGAAAACCAGATAGAATGTCTGTTACTGTCCCTTGTGAAAAATTAAGACACATACTGCAGTCTCAGCAAAGCCATTAGCATACACACACAATGAATTCTTAAGGCAGCCGTCCAAAGTGCCAACACAAACGATTGGACACTAGGAATACAGTTCATCATTGATGGAAGCAGCAGTTAAAACAGATTAGTAGTTTTTGCACATTTAATTAATTGCATAAGGCACTATCAGTTCTGTGGCAACAAGTCATTCGCAATTTTCTGAATCTGCAGTTCAAAACACAAACCACACTGGGCACAGTAAAAAATATTTTACATGAAATTTGCAGCTCAGATTGTCACGCTGTGCGTTCAGCGCAGTAGCTGGGTGATGGAACCATATCTTTTCAGTCTGCATTTTTGTGTTGGGGTGGGGATGCAATAGCTAACTATTGTCAGAAGCAAAAACTTGCCACAACTGAAAACAGTAAACCTGCCTGTCCCCCATATTGGCTGGAATTCATAACGAGAAAGAGTTATGATAAAGTGGTAAATTCAAATGGAGAAAAAAGTATTAGGTAGACAACATAGTTTCACAGCAGATACTGCCAATCGAATGTGACATGGTAGACAATCACACATTCTAGGTCTCAACCTGTGATGTGGATTTGCCACTTCTCTTCCTTGTCACTGAAGGATTGGTTCAGCGGGGGTTGAGTGGTGGTTCTGAAAGATATCCAACACTGAGAAAGAACAGGAGTGCTTTTAGTCATGTTGCAGTGGGTATTATTAGTATGTTGACTCTTTGCTGACTATTGAAGAAGTGGACAGTGTTGGTGTGGGAATGTGCAAAGTCAGTGATGTCAATTCTTGATTTATTCATTCATTCTTCAACACATTCTCTTCCCATACGGTTTCTAAAAAACTCTGGAAAAAATAAAACATGTTACTTATTTTTATGATGCTTTATCCCCAGAACCTTGATACTCACAAAAAATCCTGACACTTCTAGTGATATGATTAGGACCCTTGTTTTTGGCAGGCATTATCACTAACCACTACACTATAGGGGGTTGCCGTGGCCGAGCGGCTAGACGCTTGCCGCGGATCGGAAGGTCGTGGGTTTGCTCCCTGGCGGAGCTGGATTTTTTTAAAAAATGACCTTGGCTCACACTCTGAAAGTCGTGGGTTAATTTCACGGCTGCACCTTTTGGTTCACAAGTGCAGTTTTTACGGAGACCCCTTGAGGATCATCCCTAGAGCTGAGCTGTTCTACTTTGTGCAACGCTGCAGCCATTCTGTGGAGACTGAGCCATATGTGATCAAAGCTGGTGCAATGAAGTCAATCTTTTTGTTTTAGCCTTTAACATTTTTCAATTCTTTGAGTCCTAGGGGGTTTAGCATCAGAGGCCCAAGAGGTGGTAAGCCAATTTCGAAATGTCACAAGTGTTTCACATTAAAACAGATCATACTGATTCAGCAGCCACATAACATATACATTCTATACGTCAAAGTGACCAGAGATTGTTGAGGAATAAAATGAGAATGCTGCTACAATGAATAAATTGTGTTAGTTGTTAAATATTAGTAAATAAACAGATTGTATGTTTAGAGAAATTAGCAGAATGAAATAATAATTTTTCCACTTACCACCGTGGCACTCAAGGGAAGCTCGATACAATATATCAAAACTGAATCACAAGTGAAGATGAACCACTTAGTAATGTATACAGTGTATACATAAACACAATCTGTCTATTATATCTTGTTCCAGAGGAACTTTTAGAATATCCTAACAGAGGGCCATTCTTTGGTAAAGAAAAATGACTTCTTAAAATAATTAGTATTTTCACACACAAAACACACACACACACAAAAAGTAAATTTATGAAACACTCAATTTGCCCTTAATTTTATGGCCAATGTTCCCAAATAATAAGGAAATCACACTAGACCTAACTGACAATGAAGAAAATTGCCTTTTTCACTAATATGTATTCTATTTGTACCAGCTGACTATGTTTTTATTGTACACTTTGCATTACGTATATATCAGAGCTACCACTCATCAAAGACTATGAATGACTGAAACAAGTCTACTTTGTAACTTTCTTTGTCTAGCTTTGGATAAATCTGATAAAGGTGTGTTTTATTTAAATATGAGGTTTCTAAAGTCATAAATCTTGTTGGCATGCATGAAGAAGTCTGCTCAGAGGCCAAATTGTTTTCACACAGACACTTAGTAACACGGTAAAGCTCACAAACAGGCTATATTTTAAGCTTTTAACCAAGTTTCTGAATAAATCTAATGGTCCATACGTGTGACATCGAACACAGAGAACAGTAAATACAATTGAAAACTATCTGTTTGCGTTGTTACGCTGGCCAGTGGTAAATAAAAAAACCAGTACATGTCACACACCCATTGGGAGGCTGGGTAGAAACCGGTTAGTGTATGATGCGTTCCTTGGAACTCAAAGAGTTAAAAAGTAAGTTAATTTTTATGAGAAAATTAGTAATTATTTTTGGTAGGTCGTCCCCTTCCAGGATTGCTGTTTATGGATTACCAACTCAAGGATGAGAATCAGACAGAAGCAAAACTCAGAAACCACATTTAGCAATATAACACAATTATATTAGGGCACTTCTAAGGTTATCTGCAGTTCAGTGTGGGGGTGGGATACAACTGAGAGATAATTTGTCCCTTTCATGAGCTGAAGTATTGTGTACGTTAGCAAATTCTCTCCTAGCATCTGTATCTTCAAATATTCATAAATAAAACTTATCCATATTAAATTTTTGGTAAATTTCTTTTTCAGGTTACGAGAGAGAAGGCTTTTTAGCAATCCAGCAAGCAGTTTTTAATTCTCTGATGTATGAGTACGTGAAAGGGGAAGCTCAAGAGAAATACAATGCTACAGGCATTTCCTTGATCCGACATCCATACCCACCATACGTAGAAGACAACTATGTTCTGGTTCTGCAGCAGCAGTTTCCGCTGGTGGTCATGTTAAGCTTTGTGGTCCTAGTGCTGGGAATAGTGCGAGATATTGTTCTGGAGAAAGAGCGACGACTGAAGGTGAGTGAATTAGTCTACTTGAAATTGTTTGCACTGTTTCTTTAATTGTCTGTTTTAAACTGTATGCAATCTTTTCTTAATTGTCAGCTTTAAACTTTATGACATGTTTCCTTAGTGGTCTATTTTAAACTTTATGCAATGTTTTCTTAATTGTTTTAAATGTGATGCAATGTTTTCTTAATTGGCTGTTTTAAACTGTATGCAGTCTTGTCTAAATTGTCAACTTTAAACTTTGTGACATATTTTCCTAATGGTCTATTTTAAATTGTATGCAGTGTTTTCTTAATTTTCAACTTTAAACTTTATGTAATCTTTTCCTAATTGTCTGATTTTAACTCTGTAATTTTTTCTTGACTGTTTTAAACGTTACGCAATGTTTATTTAAGTTGTTGTTTAAAACTGTATGCAGTCTTTTCTAAATTGTCAACTATAAACTTCATGACATGTTTTCTAAATTGTCTATTTTAAATTTTATGCAGGGGTTTCTTAATTGTCAACTTTAAACTTTATGTAATCTTTTCTTAATTGTCTGATTTAAACTTTGTACAATCTTTTCTTAACTGTTTTAAACGTAATGCAATGTTTTCTTAATTGGCTGTTTTAAACTGTATGCAGTCTTTTCTTAATTGTCTGTTTTAAACTTTATGCAGTGTTTTCTTATTTGTTAATTTTAAACTTTAGGCAATCTTGTCTTAATTGACTGTTTTAAACTTCATGCTGTGTTTTTCCTTATTGCCAACTTTAAACTTTATGACCTGTACTTTAAATTTTCTATTTAAAGCAGTATACAGTGTTTTCTGAATTGTCTGTATTTAAACTGTATGCAGTCTTTTCTTAATTGTCTATGTTAAATTTTTTGCAGTCTTTTCTTAATGATTTATGTTAAACTTTATGCAATGTTTTCTTAATTGTCTACGTTAAATTTTTTGCAGTCTTTTCTTAATGATTTATGTTAAACTTTATGCAATGTTTTCTTAATTGTCTACGTTAAATTTTTTGCAGTCTTTTCTTAATGATTTATGTTAAACTTTATGCAATGTTTTCTTAATTGTCTACGTTAAATTTTTTGCAGTCTTTTCTTAATGATTTATGTTAAACTTTATGCAATGTTTTCTTAATTGTCTACGTTAAATTTTTGGCAGTCTTTTCTTAATGATTTATGTTAAACTTTATGCAATGTTTTCTTAATTGTCTACGTTAAATTTTTTGCAGTCTTTTCTTAATGATTTATGTTAAACTTTATGCAATGTATTCTTAATTGTCTACGTTAAATTTTTTGCAGTCTTTTCTTAATGATTTATGTTAAACTTTATGCAATGTTTTCTTAATTGTCTACGTTAAATTTTTTGCAGTCTTTTCTTAATGATTTATGTTAAACTTTATGCAATGTTTTCTTAATTGTCTACGTTAAATTTTTTGCAGTCTTTTCTTAATGATTTATGTTAAACTTTATGCAATGTTTTTTTTAATTGTCTATGTTAAATTTGTTGCAGTTTTTTCTTAATGATTTATGTTAAACTTTATGCAATGTTTTTTTTTAATTGTCTATGTTAAATTTTTTGCAGTCTTTTCTTAATGATTTATGTTAAACTTTATGCAATGTTTTCTTAATTGTCTATTTTAAACTGTATGCAATCTTTTCTTAACTGTCTGTATTACTTAATGCAATGTTTTCTTATTTATTGACTTCAATGTGTATGCTCTGTTTTCTTAATTGTCAACTTAAAAAGTTGATGCATTATTTTTTTTAAACTATATGTTTGAAACTTTATGGGGTTTTCTTAATATTATTGTTTGTCATGAACATCAAAATTTCTCATTTCTAACTCAAACAGCTGGCCATATTGGTTATGTCTTACATGAGATGAATTGTTTCTTTTTCACTTAATCATTACATTAACTCATAATTGTTTGGAGTTAAATTCCTGCATCTGATAGAGTTATTATTTTAACTTCTTTAGACTCAAAGGTTTACATGATTAAACTGACAACTGCCCTTTGAAGGATGAGGATAACAAATAAGAAGTATTAGTCAAATCTTTGTATAGTCCCCATGTGGGTCCTGAAGCCGCATTTTGGGGAGAAAGAAGACTAGACCCACTGCCTCTTAACTCTTTCAGTCCCAAGGGGTTTAGCATCATAGGCCCAGGGGGTAGTAAAGAGAATCATAAAATCGGCGTACCATGCATTCTTTGGGCTTCTAGGTAGGAACTTATGAACGTATGATGCGTTCCTTGGGACTCAAAGAGTTAAGCATGTCGTGAAATTGGACTAATCAGAGATTTTTCTTTCGAAGTTGGAGCGCATCTGCCTAAGAAGCAAGGAACCAACAGTCTGCATACAGTTAGACTGATCTGTGAAACTGATGTGACAAAAAATTCAACTTCTCAAAAAAGACTAAAGTCTAAAAATGGACAGACAACCATAACTTTCTGCCGGGTTTTACTGCTGGTAAATGCTAAGAAAAAGTAGAAGATATTTTTTATAGAACTGGCACTTATTGAGTTATATGATCATATCAAACCAGCTGCTTTGACTTCCAAGGATATTTTCTGGTATCTGTTTTAGGCAGGCTTGACCCAGAAGCTTAAATCAGTTTGAAGAAATCTGACAGATAGTAACCTTTAAACAAAGCAGACACAAACAGTACATTACACAATTTATTGTCAGGGATATTTCACTATTTTATTAGGTGCGTTACTATATAGTTACATCAGCATGAAAGCTGAAAAAATTCCACTCTCTCTTGATACATTGTTCATGTAACGCTGGAGATTTATGATAGTCATATGACTTATAAAGGTAACTTAAAATTTATAATGAATTCCTCTTGTTTACATAAGTGGGTAATTGTTAATTTTTTATTGTTAAAGCTTCTTCTAGTCTCAGCATTTCCCTGTTTGGTGTGTGGAGAAAATAACACAGAAAGCACTTCTTCTCTTCCACCTTGTGCTTCAGTGAAGTTGATGAGCTCCGTGAAGAGCACTGTTAAGACTGAGATTAATTTCTGTAAGGCTGTTCTTAATGCCATCACTCCATATTTTCCGAGGTCTTTCGCTCGCTCTATACCCTATGTCACATTTCATTATCGTTTGCGGTGGCAGATAGTACCAGGGCATTCTTGTTAGGTGTCCAAACCACTTCATTCATTGTTCTTTGATGACCTGAAAGACTGGCTTTATTTCTAGCATTCGTCTGATTTCATGATTTCATATTCAGAAAGCACTATCCTTGTCAGTTACATGTCTAGAATCAAGCAGATGACTTCCTATAAAAGTGTTGGGTTCTTCCTCTTGATTGATTTGAACATGCTTATGTATGGAGCCACTTGGGTATATATTTTTTGCTACTCTGTTTTCAAGTTTGTCTTCATTCAACCATTCATTCATTCATTCAGTAGCATGTCCCTCGCGGAACCTCCCTGCCATAACAACCCTCCGGAAAACCTTCCTATCCTGAGCAAGATGTTCATTCAACCAATGTAAGTCAACTGACACTTACATGTAAATTGATAAATACAGTTAACTTTCGTGATAGTAACCTTGCTTTTCTCTTCATCATTGTGGATGATTTTAATCTTGTTTGTTCTTTTTGAAAACTAGGAATCCATGAAGATGATGGGAATCAATAACTGGCTGCACTGGGTGGCTTGGTTTACAAAACACTTCCTGTTTCTCCTGATATCAGTGACAATCATGACCATCTTCTACACTGTGAAACTGGATGCAACCAAAGGGAGTGTTGTGGCACGGACTCACCCAGCCATTGTGTTTATTTACCTTATATGCTTCTCTGTGGCCACAATCACCTTTTGTTTTGCTGTTAGTGTTTTCTTTGCTAAAGGTGAGTGTGTCATTTTATATAAAGGTCATGTTTGCTTTGTCAGTGTTTAGTGTTTTCTCTTCCAAAAGTTGGTGTCTCTTTTGGGAGTTAATGTCTTTTTATTGGCTTGAAGCATATTATGTTTACAATGTTGTCTCTAGATTGAACTTTTCTTTGTATTTCACTTAGTGACTGGTAAAGTTTGGCTTTAGCTTCCACCTCTTGGCCAGAAGTTTTGCCTTGAGATGTTGTATCTAGGACAGACTTGGAAGATGTCACCTGTTGTCTCAGATGCTGACCCATGTGTGTACATGGCTGATTTGCAAAAATTTATTAAGATAAGATTAAGCCTTCTGCCAATGATTAAAGGTGAACCTCCCCCCCCCCCCCCACTCAATTGGTTTTGTGTTTTTTGTGTGTGTGTTTGTTTATCAAAGGTTTATCTGGATTTAATTGCTTAAGATTCTTAGTGTTGTGGATCCAGTCATGTCACCTATGATCAGTGATAGTTAACCATTTTATGTTGTTAAGTATGTCATTTGACCTCTCCTTTTACTTCTGTGAATGCTGATCACTACTATTAATTTATTTCCCATGCTATTTAAATATCCTCAGCTTGATATCCGGGTCCATTTCTGAAGACTGGTTATCTGGAGGAACCTCTTGGGCTGGTCTTATTAGAAGTATTTCAAAATGTTCAGCCCATCTGTCCGTTTGATCTTTAGTGTTGGTGTGTATCATTCCTTGACTATTTTTGATTGATCTATTTGGCTGATTTTTACCTACTAATTTATTGTGGTAATGTAAAGGTCTCTGAGATTTCCTTTTGCTGCTGCTGTATCCGCTTCTTGTGCTAGGTCATGTAGATCATTTAATACCTCTAACTTGATATTACCATGACTTAACTGTGATAATCTGTATGATTATAAAGTCCTCTCATTGCACATCTCAGTGACAGTCTTTGTGTGTTTATGAAGTTCTGTGATTGCACATCCTATCGGCAGTCTTTGTTATTAGATTGCCATACATTTAGAACTAGTGGTGTCTGTGGCTTAGGCGTTGCAAGTCCGATCGAAACCCACTGCTGACTGCGTGGATTTTTATCGTGATATGGAGCCTCACAGGTCGACCCAGCCTAAAATGGGTACCAGGATGTATGTCCTGGGGAAGTAAAGACAGCTGGCATAATGCATTCATTATCCACATTACTCTCCTAGTGACGATTGGTCTGTAAAAATATGGGTGCTCTTCCCAAATGCCCGATGAGCGAAAAGAGATCTTTACTTACTTACTTGTACATTTAGAATTAACACCATCCGTCTGTACTTCTCTGATATTACCCAGTACCCATTTTAAGCTGGATTGACGTGGAAGTTACATCACTTGAACAAAAAATCAGCCTTGGTGGGTGTATGGTGTGTGGACGCTATTAATGTTGACAAAAAAATACACTAATAATTTATTTGTCCTCACCAGCAAACACTGCAGCAGCTGTTGGAGGGATTTTATTCTTTTGCCTCTACATTCCTTATTTCTTTTTACAAAGAAGATACTCTTCATTAACCTGGATGTCAAAAGTTGTAGCATGCCTGGACTTCCAAGTGGCCATGTCATTTGGAGGAACTCTGCTGGGAATGTTTGAGGGAGTAGGTATGTACATGCTTTAAGGTTACAACAAATTCTTTCTCATTTTCCCCCCAGCTTGTCTGGCCTTATTAAAAAACAAAACTGAATATACAAATGAGTTGAATGGGAGAGACCTCGGGGCAGATCAAGAAGACATTTGAGAGGTAATATACAGGCAGATGTATAAATAGCTTGAGTCAGCACCCTGAAAGAGAATCCCAGTCACAGAGATGAATAGAGACAAGAGGTGTCCGCAGCATGAGCTTTGAATGCTGAATAAGAAGAAGAATAAAGCCTTATTTTATATGGACAGTCTTTCACAGTGCACATGTGTATAGTGTTCACAGTACACATATGTATAGTGTTCACAGTACACAGATGTATAGTGTTCACAGTACACATATGTATAGTGTTCACAGTACACAGATGAATAGTGTTCACAGTACACATATGTATAGTGTTCACAGTACACAGATGTATAGTGTTCACAGTACACATATGTATAGTGTTCACAGTACACAGATGTATAGTGTTCACAGTACACAGATGTTTAGTGTTCACAGTACACATATGTACAGTGTTCACAGTACACAGATGTTTAGTGTTCACAGAACACTTATATAGTGTTCACAGTACACAGATGTATAGTGTTCACAGTACACAGATGTATAGTGTTCACAGTACACAGATGTATAGTGTTCACAGAACACAGATGTTTAGTGTTCACAGAACACATATGTATAGTGTTCACAGAACACAGATGTTTAGTGTTCACAGTACACATATGTACAGTGTTCACAGTACACAGATGTTTAGTGTTCACAGTACACATATGTATAGTGTTCACAGTACACAGATGTATAGTGTTCACAGTACACAGATGTATAGTGTTCACAGTACACATATGTATAGTGTTCACAGTACACAGATGTATAGTGTTCACAGAACACAGATGTTTAGTGTTCACAGTACACATATGTACAGTGTTCACAGTACACAGATGTTTAGTGTTCACAGAACACATATATAGTGTTCACAGTACACAGATGTATAGTGTTCACAGTACACAGATGTATAGTGTTCACAGTACACAGATGTATAGTGTTCACAGAACACAGATGTTTAGTGTTCACAGAACACAGATGTTTAGTGTTCACAGTACACAGATGTTTAGTGTTCACAGTACACAGATGTTTAGTGTTTACAGAACACATATATAGTGTTCACAGTACACAGATGTATAGTGTTCACAGTACACTGATGTATAGTATTCACAGTACACAGATGTATAGTATTCACAGTACACATATGTATAGTGTTCACAGTACACATATGTATAGTGTTCACAGTACACATATATATAGTGTTCACAGTACACACATATATAGTGTTCACAGAACACATATATAGTGTTCACAGTACACAGATGTATAATGTTCACAGTACACTGTTGTATAGTGTTCACAGTACACACATATATAGTGTTCACAGTACACAGATGTATAGTGTTCACAGTACACACACACACACACACACACACACATATATATATATATATATATATATATATATATATATATATATATATATATATATATATATATATATATATAGTGTTCACAGTACACATATGTATAGTGTTCACAGTACACATATGTATAGTGTTCAAAGTACACAGATGTATAGTGTTCAAAGTACACATATGTATAGTGTTAACAGAACACATATGTATAGTAAATTAACTCATTCTCATTACTTCTTTTTCTTCTTCTGTGTTCGCTCTTAACCCTCTCGCCCCGGAAACACAACGAAAGTGGGTCCTGATCCCAATCCATGAAAGAAATCCTTAAAAACAATTTTACACAGGTTTGAATAAATTAGTAAACAGTTTATTTATTTACATTTGTGAAAACGATTTCCAAAATTTATAAAGATAAATGAAAGGATAATCAGTAAACATGAACAGGGTGAAGCATTAAATGGAATACATTCTCCAGGGCCTTTAAAAACATATGTATCTGGTGATTAGTGCCGTCACCCTGTGAACTCTGTCACTTAGGCTTATGAGAAAATATGATGTCAACTTGGCTGTGAAAAAGCTATTTGGCTCAAATGGCAACCCCTCACCCCTCCCCCATGCTATTTTTAGTGAAAGTATTCATATGCTATCTCTCTAAATGTTTACTTGGGTGTGAAAACAACCAGTAGAATTAACAATATGTCTCGTAAACATATCACTATAGATGTGTCAGAAAACTGACATACATGGGGCTTTGAGCCAGCCGAAAGTGTCGGTTATAAGACTTCTCAGGGCAAAAGGGTTAAAATGGCTGTTGTGCTGGGGCTTACAGCTAGGCAATATCTGTGTCTTTTAGCTACAAACAGATTGATTTCCTGGGAACCCTTAATTGGTTGTTTCTGATAAAATGTTAAGTATTAGAACAGCAGATCAGATCTGTCTGCACCTTGCAGGCATAATTTAAAAAATCCTTAGCAGTTAAAAACTGAAAATGAGAAGTCGGCTGTTTTGTTGTCTAGTCTAATGGAGCCTTGTGCAAGATGCCAAACAATGCAATAAAAAGATGTCAGTTATAATGAGGCACCATGAGCATGCAACAGGAAAATATATACATCGAGAGGTAGATTGGGGGATAGAAAGAAAAAGGGATTGAGAGAGAGTCACTGACAGCCTGAGACTTTGCAACATCACAGCATACCAAGCAGCAAAGCACACACGACTCCGCTGCTTAGCATCTTAACTCTTTGAGTCCCAGGGCGTTTAGCATCACAGGCCCAGGGGGTAGTAAAGAAAGTAATAAAATCAGTGCATGATGCGTTCATTGGGATTCTAGGTAGGAACCTATGAACGTATGATGCGTTCCTTGGGACTCAAAGAGTTAAACTGAGATGCCTAGCGGTGCAAAGTAAATATTAACTCTTTGAGCCCCAAGGAACGCATCATACGTACATAGATTACTACCGAGAAGCTCAAGGAATGCATGATGTGCAGATTTTATGTCTCTCTTTACCACCCATTGGGCCTGTGATGATAAACCCTCTGGGACTCAAAAAGTTTATAACAGAAAAAAAGAAGAATTGTAGCAAGAACAAGTATTAAAAATGCTGTACAGATCCTGGCCTGTTGTGTTTGTGTGAAATATGGACAATAAGCAGTTAAGCTAAAGAACATTCGGTGTCAGTGTAAATGTGATTAAAGATAAACAAATATGATGAATATCATAGGCTGACATAAATGAAACAGTCCTTCAGACAGATGAATGTTGTAAACTAATTTGAGAAATATAGCAGCAGTCATGGCAACAAAACAACTGCAATTACAGTTATAGTAGTAGCAATCAAGACTTCTTGGAGTAATATAAGTAAGTAAAGGACCCTTTTCAGGCATATTGGGCTTACAGGGCTATACCTATATTTTATAGACCAATCGGCACTGCACCTGGTACCCACTCAAGGCTGGGTTGTCGTGGGAGCCAAAGTCCATTTTTTAAGAAAGCCTAGTTCCGTCAGGACCAGAACCCACGACCTTCCGACTCACAGGTGAACGTCTCATCTAGCCGCTACACCATGACGACTCTCCTTGGAGTATTATACAAATGAATAAACTTGACAATTTGATGACAACTGGAAAATGTGATGGAAAGAGAGCAAGGGGAGGACACCAATAGAAAAATACCAGAATTGCTTGACTACATGACTTAGGCAGGACAAGACACAGACCTGACCCATGATTCTAGTGATTAAATGAGGTTGTGAAAAATAATTTGATGTATGAAGTAATAAAGATAGATTTATGGCGAAGTGATCTGTACAAACTAATGGATTGAGGAAACAAGGACATTGTAAGATAAAATTGATCAAGAAGCCAAAGGCGCTGAACTGAACTGGATTGCTTGCATGATATTAAAAAGATTCCACGCACAGGATATAATGGAATGGAGAAATAGACTATGCGCCCTAATTGACCTAAAAGGCACAATAAGAAGAAAATGATGAGGATGATGGGTTCTTTATTTATATCTTACCCCAGATGATGTCACAGGACAGTCCAACATTTTAGAGGGTGGTAAGACTGGGTTTCTCAGCTTTCTGAGGCTTTTAATGACCCCAAAACATCTAGAACTGGCCCTAACTCCAACCCACCTACATCCCACGAGAGAGTGCAGCCTAGGTCCCACAAATGTCTGCAGCATAGGTACCACCCCCTGAAATATTAGATTGTCCAGTGACCTGTGAATTTCCCCTGTTTCTTCTTCTTCTTCTTCTTCTTCACTTCCTCTTTTACCGCTGTGGGTGTCGAGGGAGATATAAGGTTCTGTTTCTAGCTCTTCTGGCTGCCTCGACCATAGGCACATCGTGCTGTTGTAGAGTTTCTCTGATGTTATCCTTCCATCTTGTTCTTGGTCTACCCCATGCTCTACGTCCTTCTTCTCTTTCCATATATGCTTTGTATGGTATGGTGTCACAAGGCATTCTCTCTGTGGGCAAACCATTTCACTTGCTGTCTTTGTATGTAATCCAGAATTGGTTCTGTGCCGACTTGTTCTCTTATGATCTCATTCCTGATCTTATCTCTTATGGTCACTCCTACAGCCCTTCTCAGACATCTCATTTCCATGGTTACTAATTTTCTTTTATGGTTTGTTGTGAGTGACCATGTCTGGCACTGGTAGCACAGAGTTGGAATAAATATGCTTTGAATAAGATGTCTCTTTGTGCTGATTGGGATTGTCTTATGCTGTAAGAGGGGGGCTAGCTGTCCCAATACTTGGTTTGCTTTACTGCAACTAATGTCAATTTCTTTATCCAATTTCCCATCTTCGGTAAATGTAGTTCCCAGATATTTAAACTCAGATGCCTGTTTAATGCCTTTGTATTCTATTGCTATATTTAGATCTGTCTTCTTTTTTCCAATTGACATTACTTCTGTCTTTTCAGTGTTGATTCTCATATTATTTGTTTTACATTCTTCATTCATGGATGTTAGATGTTGTTGCAATTTCATGGCTGTATCTGCTATCAAGGCCTGGTCATCTGCAAAGAGTAATTCGTTGATCTTACTAAGATCTTCATTCATAGGCTTGGCATTCTTGCAAATACTGTCGATGTAGGTGATAAACAGCAGTGGTGATAAGACACACCCCTGTCTTACTCCAGATGTCACTGTGAAAGGATGAGATGTTCCCTGATTTATTCTAACTACACTTCTACAATCCCTGTATAAACTTTTGCACACTTCGATGAGGTGTTCGCTTACTCCATATCTTGCCATTATTTTCCATAATAATTGTCTGTCGACTCTGTCAAATGCCTTCTCTTGGTCTACGAATGCCACAAATAAGTTCTTATTGTATTCAATGTTCTTTTCTATTAACTGTTTAAGTGTGAAGATTGCATCTGTGCAGCTTCTATTTCTCCTAAATCCCATCTGTTCTTCTGCCAGCTGTGGTTCTATCACTGGTCTCAGTCTTGTTTCTATTATCTTGGCATACATTTTGCCAACATGGCTCAAAAGAGAGATGCCTCGATATTGACCGCATTCTCGTTTGCTTCCTTTGTTCTTCCACAATGGTATAACTATTGCATGTTGCCAATCAATAGAGCCGTTTGTTGTACCCATGCTGCATTGAATATTCTGTGAAGTCATCTGATGCTGCTTTCACCTGCTGCTTGAATTATTTCTGTTGGTAATCTATCAGCTCCTGGTGCTTTATATTTGTGAGACTGTTTAATGACTTTTTCAATTTCATCCATTAGTATGTGTGGTTCTAACACTGTTGCTCTGTGCTCTTCAGTTGTTCTTTCCTGATGTTTGGGAGTAGGATATTAATAAAGCACCGGATGATGATATACACAAGAAATGTCATACATGACTGCAGATGGTAACCTGAGAATTTTGTGACTTGCAGGAGAAGGCATCCACTTTGACAACTTGTCTAAAGGTGTGTCTGTAGATGATGGCTTCTCAATGCTGACAGTGCTGATCATGTTACTGGTTGATTCTCTCATCCATTGCTTCATTGCCTGGTATGTGGAGGCAGTCTTCCCAGGAGAGTATGGTGTGCCACAGCCTTTCTACTTTCTTTTTCTTGTAAGTAAATTTATTATATTTTGTTTATATGTAAAACTCATGGCGTATGGTGTTTAATTTATGCTTGAATACATATGTATATAAAGACATATTAACAATATATTGAGCTCTAGATGACTGTATTAACTAAATAAAACATAATTCCAATTAACCGGACATTTTTAAGGTTTCTTTTTCAGTGCTTGCACTAAACAACATCAGGTGAATCATTCAGTGAGGAAAAGATGCTGGTTTGTGTGTGGATCGGATACACATTAAGAAAACCTGATAACGGATGACTAAAATGAGTTTGCATTAGAAACCCCAGGGTCAAAGGGAGAAACAGTACCCCCCCCCCCCCCACACACACACACACACACACAAATACACACACAAACACACCAACACACTTGAATGAGGGAATTTGGGATGAACTGTGATGAGTTAGTGGAGGGCCTATGCTCCATTGAGGGATAAAGGGAAGAAGAAAAGTCCATGTACTGTAATGCAGTCTTTATAGACCTGTATTCTATAAAATGTCTAACAGTTTTTAATATGGATTATTATAGACTTGATACAGTTAGTCATTACCAATGTACATAAGTACATGTTAAAACTACACAAATTTCTCTTTTTCATGCCTGTACTATCAGTGCCATCTTTGAGGCTGATATGCATTTTAGTATAGTTCACCTTTCAGTTGTATTTGATGAAAGATATCCCTGCATGGGTTCCTTTGCCCCATACCATTTTGAGTTGGGGGAGGGGGGCGGGGGGGGGGGGGGGGGGGGGGGACAGACCCACTGTCTCTCTAACGAGGGTGACATAAAAGTCTTCTAATTAGGGGTGTTTTCTTTGAAATTAGAGTGCATTTACATGAGAAGCAAGAACCAACAGTCTGCTTACAAATAAGCCAGATGTGTAAAATGGATGTGCACACAAAAATAAAGTTGTAGTCTGGAACAAAACTAGAGTTTAGAAGTGGACAAACAACCAGAACTTTCCACCGAAGTTTATGGCTTGTCCTCTGCAGTTCTCACAAAATTCTGAAAAACATCTGGTAGCTATTTTTAAGAGCTGTATCAGCAAAAAAAAAGTCCTGCCACACCTAGGGGCTGAACCTGGATCACTATCTCAGCAGGCATGTATATTAACCACTGTGTCACCTCAGCACATATCGTACAGCAATACCTGAAGATGAAATAGAGTTTTGGTTTCCAAGTGGGTTCCATGGCCCCATGTTTAGAGGAAGAAAATAGACCCACTTCTCCTTAACAAGCATGTCATACAAGTTGACTAATTCAGAATTTGTAGATATTGTTTGTGTTGGGCCAAAAGGTGTGGTATATCACAGCTTAGCTGTAAAACAATAATACAGTGTGTCAACCGCCCTTTTAAGGGAGACTGCAGAAGAAGATTTATGGAGATAGACATTATCTTGTCTGCTGACATGACCAGGTCTATGCTAGGCTATACTGATCACAGCTGTGATGCATCAGCCATTTTAACAACATGTCTGTTGAGCAGGTCTTTAAGAAAATCTTGTATTGTTAATTTTATTTAGACTTATAAGTTTTTGTTAAGCTGAAAATAAGCTGTAAGGACATTCTGATAGTTTTGATGAAACTGAAAGGACAATCTGAAAGTGTTAATGAAGAACTGCAATAGGGAAATGGGATATCACTGTTGGTTACGATTTAGCCGGCCATAGTTATATCGCTGCAGGTACATCATTCTTTGAGCAGTTTCAAATTTATTAAGCTACCCAGATAAACAGTTCATTCCAGCTGATTGGCATACACTCCTTTTTCCCTCAGGAAAGGTTTCAAATGTTTTCAGACTCATTTAAATTTAATCAGCCACCTTCTAACTCAGAACTGACAGATGACAATATGGCCATCTTTAGCGATAATGCAAATGACTTAATTTACTCTTCCATAAATTTAGTCTTGCAAGCTTTTCAATTTTTCTAACTTATTTCTTTAACATGGGCCGGATGGAGGGGATGAAGTGAAATACAGACCTAGAAAGACCTGGATACAGAATTTAGCTGAATGAACGGGCTTATAACATGCAAATATCAAATTCATTCAATCTCATTAACAAAGGCAGATAGAAGTGATCTTACAGTCGGTAGCATCTGTTGACCCAGTGACTCTGTTATGGGATGATGATGATGTTGATCTTCAGTAAGTCACTGAACAAGACTATTATGCATTGTTTTTCTGTTTTTAGCCTAGCTACTGGGGCTGCTGCAGAAAACAACCAGACAAAAGAATTTTGGATGAAACTTCAAGCGTGGGACAGAATCCTGCCATGTTTGAGAAGGAACCCACAGGGGTGAATGTAGGAATCAAGATTAGAAATCTGTGTAAGGTGAGTCATACTGGTAACTTATGTGCAGCTGTTGTACACACTGTTGTAAAAAAAAATTGTGATTTATTGTTTGGCCTTTCTATGGCCTTATTTTTCTACTTATACATGTAAAAATTAATTTCAAAGAAATTAATAATACAAAAAGAAATATATCTTCCAAGGCTCCAAGCCAGATAGATGGCACCTAAATAGATTGTTTTTAAAAAATTACTTTTGGTTCTCTGGTTACTCCAGGAAATTTTCTGGATAATCAAGGCAGCCAATGTGATGTAGACTATAAAAATGCCAAGTGATGTACACACACAAAAAATATGTGCCTTGAATCATATCCTCGTTATAGCATGTGACATAAAAATTGGTCCCTCAGCTATATCTCAGATTAAGTGGTAGAATACTAAGTGTACACAGTCTTGACAACTAAATAGAGGAAGCTGCGTGGTCTCGAGGTATGGCGTCCGCCTCGAGTGCTGGAGTCCCGGGTTCAGGCCCTTGTAAAGGCTGGGATTTTTTTCAAGTGGACTTTCAGTAATTTATCCTGGTCTCTGGGTAGTGAGATCGGACGCCCATATGCATTGTTGCGCACGTAAAAAGTCCCTTGGCAGTTGGAAATCGAAAAGATTAGCCTTACTGCCCTTCCCGTGCTAAATTTTAAGTTAAAAATCTACCCAAAGTATTTCAAGACCCTTGCCAGTGCAACAAGTTCGTGCACTGCGCTGAGCTGCTTCAAACTCAGGCTTGAGTTAGAAGTAGAATGGAGCACTTATAGGTTACACTCATGTTCCATGATGTTGATCCATTGAATAAACCAAAACCAGACAACTAAATAATGAGACCGATTTTATTATGACTAAAACAAGAAGCCACTCATGAAGCAAAGCATGTAATCCAAACAGGCACTATTCATCCATGGCTGAACAAAATTGTAACACCCCCGGGTCAGCAGATGACAAGTAACTGGAAATACTGAGAGTATTAGAGATCATCATCATCATCATGTAGCAGATCCTTTGCAGAATGTCGCTCTCATCATGGTCTGCCTAAAAAAACTCGGTCTCTCACCAGTTCTCCCGCCTCATGTACTTTCATACTCAAGGAGTCACTTATATCCTGTGCCTGTCTTTGTGTTGGTCGGTCCCTGCCCCCCTCCTGGTACAATGCCTTATGCTATTATTTTTTCCAATCGATCGTGGCGCTTGATATGACCAAAATATTTCAGCTTCCGAGACAGAATGCTGTTTACTAGCCAATCTTCCTGGATGTTCAGATCTTTCAAGATGACAGTATTTCTCCTCTTCTTTGTCCAAGATATCCTGAGAATCTTTCTATAGCATTTCAGCTCAAAAACCTCTAATCTCTTTCTTAAGGACAACAAGGAGATCAACAGGAAGAAAATGCTAGACATGTTGGTAGAAAGCCATGGAAGACAAAGAGAGGTTGAAAATATCAAGATTACAGAAGAGTGTTGTGGAGGAATGTCTTTGTCTGCACAACTTAGCAGTGTACTTGATGATGATGATAATGATAACAATGATAATGATAACATAGTTAGTTGTGTATCATTCACAGGACATTGCAGAACCAATCTCAAAATTTTTTTGGCCCTTGTTTTTCTTTGCAAATTATGTTCACTAGTTTGCCATTGCTTGCTGAACAGTCAGCTCTCAGCACCACTGTCGAAATCAACGCAAGACACTATTCTGCCAGATCGCTTGCAGCTGGGATCAAACCTGGCACTACGAAGCACATTCACAACACCTAAGCCACAGACACCAACGATGATAACATAGGCGTAGAAAAATATATGTTAATAATAGATAGTCATGTTTTGACAATATTTGAACTCTCTTACAGACAAACTAGTACCAAAAATGGAGAAACCTTCATTTCCTTCTGTATTTCTAGTCTTATGAAGTTATATTTTGTGCTTACATCTGTGTACAGGTTTATGGTACAGGGTCAAAGAAGAAAGTAGCTGTTGCAGGCATGACACTGAATATGTATGAAGGACAAATCACTGCACTACTTGGCCACAATGGAGCTGGCAAGACTACCACCATGGCTATGCTTACAGGTAATTAGACCTGTTCTACATGTAACAACTAAGTATAACCAGAAAATGGCCGCTGACACTATACTCACAGAACATGTTGGGAAAGGTGGAGACGAGTATGTTTCATGCAGAGTGGCAAGCATCACTTCAGAGGTCCTGGGTAGTTAGTGTCCTTTGGATATTTTCTTCAGATCATGCCGGTGTATTTTGAAGTTAGCAGGCAGATAGACTGGCCGGTTCTGCACCACGTGGTGGTGAATTGATATGACAAGCTGGATGTTGTGAGGGCTCTTTAGAAGATGGTGAACAGTGCGGAGGCACAGATAGATCATTATGGTCTGGGGAGAATAGCGCTACAAGGAGTTATCAGGAGATCTGGCAACACTCAAAGGAAAGGCAAGATGGATTTACAATCAGACAGCTACTAGTATCATCGAAATTGGAACTCTTCATTTGCTGCAGAAGATGGGGATGGAGTATTTATGGGAGTATACCAAGTGCTTTGATGTTGATTCTTAAATCAACATTCAGCATTCAGCTATGAAAAATTATTTGTTTCCAGCTGTTAGCTGATGCAAATTCCTATTTTCTGGTGTTTGGTGCGACACTGTGATCTACAGATTGTCTTGTTGTTGACTGCACTGAAATGGCGGGTTACTTGATTACTTTCAGAATGCCCTGCATTTTTGTCGGTGCAATTTAAGTTTTCAGGATTGACCATGATTGGATTTTTCTCATGCACAGTGTAAGCTGGTCTTCATTTCTCTAAAACCTTTTCTTGTTGTCATCAGTCTATTTTTGGTTTGGTCTTTCCCATGCCATGTACTCATTATATTTCTTTGTTTTGTTTCCTTGTGGTAGTTGGTATCTAGCAGTTTGTTTCATTCTGGCGGTTGGTCCTAGGGAATTCTATTTCGATGGCAAAATTATTTTATATGACCTCTTAAATGAATCGTATAACAAGTTAGAATTAATCAAATACACATCATTTGCTACATAAACTACCATTTTAAAATATTTAGAGTTGAGTTGAGTTGATTCAACAACTGACATCATAGCACTCTGAGCATTCCAGTAAGCACTGGTACCACAATCTTCAGCAGCCAGTGCAGAGTTTCGATACTAATGGTGCCAGTAGCATTCTGATTAAACGTCTGGCTTGCCTTTGCTCTGAGCCTCGAGCATCTGCCAGAACCCCTCGTCACTCCCTACTGCATCAATCTCACCAGACTAGTGATCCATCTGCTCCTCCAAACTGTAATGCTCTCCCACAAGGCACTAATAAAATATTCAGGTTATAAAAGAATGCGACTTATGTTTTTTCTTTGCAGGATTTTATCCTCCAACTAGTGGAACTGCCCTAGTCAATGGCTATGATATCCGCCATGAGATCAGTGATGTCAGGAACAGTCTCGGCCTGTGTCCGCAACATGACATCTTGTTTGATAATCTCACAGTGGAAGAACACATGATATTCTTTGGATTGGTAAGTGATATTCAACAGTCCCATTACTTGTGGTTTATGTTTTGTTTCTTGGAAGGCCTTGAATGACTTTGTGATAAAGCATTCATCTCAAACTCAAGATGAATGGACACAAATTACTTTGAAAAGCCTGTGGGTGATTTACTCGATGTGGTATTTATATGGTTTAGGTGACCTGTGAACTGTATCCGGGGCAAAGTGTATGATTTTTAGGAGGCTATGAATGGTACTATTAGTAACTTCAAGTATAAATGAAACTTCACAGCAATGTTTTGCGGATAATGAATACGTAGCGCCGGCAGATGTTTAAAGGTAGCATTCCCACATCAGTATAAACTTATTCTGTAAATTTCAGCTAAATTCGTTCAGTAGTTTCCGAATCTATACATCACAAACAAAACATTGATTTATATATATATATATATATAGATTTAGGTAGCGTGTGGATATTTCCCTGTGTGATGTATTGTATGATTTAGGTAACCTGTCGATGGTACACTGTGTGATGTATGAATTAGGTAGCCTTTAGATGGTACATTGAGTAATTTATTGTATCATTTAGGTAACCTGTAGATGGTACACTGAATGATGCATTGTATGTTTTAGGTAGCCTGTAGATGGTACACTGGGTGATGTATTATATGATACAGGTAACCTCTAGATGGTACACTGGATGATGTATTGTATCATTTAGGTAGCCTGTAGATGGTACACTGGGTGATGTATTATAAGATATAGGTAACCTCTAGATGGTACACTGGGTGATGTATTATATGATACAGGTAACCTCTAGATGGTACACTGAATGATGCATTGTATGATTTAGGTAACCTCTAGATGGTACACCGGGTGATGTATTATATGATACAGGTAACCTCTAGATGGTACACTGGATGATGTATTGTATCATTTAAGTAGCCTGCAGATTGTACACTGGGTGATGTATTATATTATATAGGTAACCTGTAGAGGGTACACTAGGTGATGTATTATATGATATAGTTAGCCTGTAGATGGTACACTGGGTGATGTATTTTATGATATAGGTAGCCTGTAGATAGTACACTAGGTGATGTATTATATGATATAGGAAGCCTGTAGATGGTACACTGGGTGATGTATTTTATCATTTAGGTAGCCTGTAGATGGTACACTGGGTGATTTATTGTATTATGTAGTTAGCCTGTAGAAAGTACACTGGATTATGTATAATTTAGGTAGCCTGTAGATGGTACACTGGGTGATGTATTATATGATATAGGTAGCCTGTAGATGGTACACAGGGTGCTGTATTATATGATATAGGTAGCCTGTAGATGGTACACAGGGTGATGTATTATATGATATAGGTAGCCTGTAGAGGGTACACTGGGTGATGTATTGTATCATTTAGGTAGCCTGTAGATGGTACACTGGGTGATGTATTATAAGATATAGGTAACCTCTAGATGGTACACTGGGTGATGTATTATAAGATACAGGTAACCTCTAGATGGTACACTGGATGATGTATTGTATCATTTAGGTAGCCTGTAGATGGTACACTGGGTGATGTATTATAAGATATAGGTAACCTCTAGATGGTACACTGGGTGATGTATTATATGATACAGGTAACCTCTAGATGGTACACTGGGTGATGTATTATATGATTTAGGTAACCTCTAGATGGTACACTGGGTGATGTATTATATGATACAGGTAACCTCTAGATGGTACACTGGATGATGTGTTGTATCATTTAGGTAGCCTGCAGATTGTACACTGGGTGATGTATTATATGATATAGGTAATCTGTAGATGGTACACTAGGTGATGTATTATATGATATAGGTAGCCTGTAGATTGTACACTGGGTGATGTATTTTATGATATAGGTAGCCTGTAGATAGTACCCTGGGTGATGTATTATATGATATAGGAAGCCTGTAGATGGTACACTGGGTGATGTATTGTATCATTTAGGTAGCCTGTAGATGGTACACTGGGTGATTTATTGTATTATGTAGTTAGCCTGTAGAAAGTACACTGGATTATGTATGATTTAGGTAGCCTGTAGATGGTACACTGGGTGATGTATTATATGATATAGGTAGCCTGTAGATGGTACACAGGGTGCTGTATTATATGATATAGGTAGCCTGTAGATGGTACACAGGGTGATGTATTATATGATATAGGTAGCCTGTAGAGGGTACACTGGGTGATGTATTATATGATATAGGTAGCCTGTAGATGGTACACAGGGTGCTGTATTATATGATATAGGTAGCCTGTAGATGGTACACAGGGTGATGTGTTATATGATATAGGTAGCCTGTAGATGGTACACAGGGTGATGTATTATGTGATATAGGTAGCCTGTAGATGGTACACTGGGTGATGTATTAAATGAAATAGGTAACCTGTAGATGGTACACAGGGTGATGTATTAAATGATATAGATAGCCTGTAGATGGTACACCGTGTGATGTGTTATATGATATATGTAACCTGTAGATGGTTCACTTGGTGATATATTATATAATATAGGTAGCCTGTAGATGGTACACTGGGTGATGTATTAAATGGTATAGGTAACCTATGGATGGTGCGCTTTGTAAAGTATTATTTTGAGTTGTCTGTCAGTGGGGTCTTGTAAAATGGCATATGCTTATGATTTCAGTCTTGACAAAAACAACCCATGAAGGGTTTGCAACTATTACATAAAATTATTATAGATTTTCCTAATGTGTTCTTGACTCAGACAGGGTAGAGGAACTAGGGATCATGTCTTTAATATAAGAATAATTTTTGAAAAATGCAGAGAATACAACATAGATCTTCATGCTTGTTTAATTGATTATAGCAAGGCATTTGATTGTGTCCAACATCAGAAACTGTGGACTATTATGAGAAGTATGGGGTTTCCATCCCATTTAGTGAACTTAATTGAAAACCTTTATCATGAACAACAAGCAGCCATCAGAGCAGCTGGTGAAACATCTGATTGGTTCGAGGTGCAAAAGGGAGTGAGACAGGGATGCATTCTCTCACCATACCTATTCAATATATATGTGCAGAAAATATAATAAGAAATGTCAAAAATGACCAGACTTGTGACAATTATGATCCACTCAAAATTTGTTGCAACCCTATTCATGGACTTCACTACGCAGATGACACAGTTTTTCTTTCAAACAGCGTAAAGGAAATAGAAAATTTAATATTGTCTGTCCAAAAGCACAGCATAGATCAAAATCTGTTCTTGAATTTAAAGAAAACAAAAATAATGTCCACAGATAAAACTATCACCCAAAAATAACAATGAATGATGAAGAAATTGAAAATGTCACAGACTTTGAATATCTAGGCTCTATAATAAATTGCAATGGAGACTTTTTGACAGAAATTAAAAGGAGGATGGCCATAGCAATAAAAAGATTAAACAGCTATGGTAAGCACCAGCAAGGAGATAAAAATTAGAATTTAGAGAGCATGCATCTTCCCTTTAGCAGCATACGGATGTGAGTCGTGGACTATCTACCAGTCCTTTAGAAAGAGAATAGGGGCTTTTGAGCTGAAATGCTATAGAAAGATTCTCAGAATATCTTGGACAAAGAAGAGGAGAAATACTGACATTTTGAATGATCTGAACATCAAGGAAGATTGGCTATTAAATATCATCCTGTCTCGGAAGCTGAAATATTTTGGTCATACCAAGCGCCACGACAGATTGGAAAAAATTATAGCAGAAGGCATGGTACCAGGAAGGAGTGGCAGGCGTTGACCGACACGAAGATGGGCACAGGATATAAGTGACTCCTTGAGTATGAAAGTACATGAGCTGGGAGAGCTGGCGAGAGACTGAGTTTCTTTCAGGCAGACCATGATAAAAGCGACGTTCTGCAAAGGACCTGCTACATGATGATGATGTTCTTGACTCAGAAATTCATCGGTAATCATAAAAAGGAATCATGATTATAACAGACACACAAAGCATGATGATAAAGGTGAAGAAAGACATGCTCCTTACAGAGTGGCAAGGATTGTTTCAGAGGTCCCCAGCAGTTAGCATCCTTTGGATCTTTTCTCCAGGGTATGCAGTTGTGTTCATAAATGAACAAGCAGAAGATATTGGCTATTGCTGCAGCACAAAGTGGTGAACTTATGCATGATAAGCTAGATGTGGTCAAGAACCTCTGGGAGAGACTTAACAATGTGGAAGCACAATTAGATCGTTTCTGTGAGGAGGGAATGGTGGAGAGTGACACTACACTAAGAGGAAAGACATGACGGATAGATAACCAAACTGCTGCTGGTACCATCAGTATTAGAACTCTTTGCTGGCTGCTGAAGAGAAGGATAGATCACATAGAAGAATTTCCTAGGGGTGGGGGCTTCAGGAAGACATGAGAATCACAGCCTATCACAATGGTGACTGTGAAGTAGCTATTCTTCTTCTTAGTGTTCACCGGCTATAAACTTTGGTGAAACATTCTGGTTCTTCATCCACTTCTGGGCTTTGGTCTTATTTTAGAACTTGAGTTTTGCATGCACATCTGTTTTACATATCTGGCTTATTTGTATGCAGACTGTTGTTCCCTCTCCTTTCCGGCAGATGCACTTTAACTTTGAATGAAACACCCCTAATTAGTTGACTTTTGTGACATACTTGTAAGGGTGCAGTGGGTCTGTTCCTTTCCCCCCCCAAAAAATAGAGCCGTGGAACCCACATGGGAATTGTGACCAGTAAGACTAGTTTGTGTTTAGGAAAGCCTTCCACAGTAAGTGTGTGGGGTTACAAGACCATTGTTGAAACTCACTGTTTGCAGCAGCTTCTGAAATTCTCTGCTCTCAAGTAATATGTAATAATTTTCTCCTTTGTACATTTCCCCTTCGGGAGTCGCCGTGGCAGAGCGGCTAGACGCGCGCCGAGGATCAGAAGGTCGTGGGTTCGCTCCCTGGCGGAGACGGACTTTTCTTCAAAAATGACCTTGGCTCCCAGGTCAACCCAGCTTTGAGTGGGTACCGGGTGCACTCCCGGGAAGTAGAGGCGGCCGGCGTGATGCTTACCACATCAACCATCTTGTGCCGTTGGTCTATAAAAATATAGGTCTAGCCCTATATGCCCTATACGCCTAAAGGTGTGGAAAGGGTCCTTTACTTTTTTTTTTTTTTACATTTCCCCTTCCTGCTTTCATGCAACAAGATCCATGGCACCCTTAGTGATTAGAAAGGATTATTATCACAGCACTCCGGACAGATCCATAGGTGCTCCAATCTCCTCCTAAAAAAAGCTCCACAAATTGATGATGCCTTTTCTGTGTTGGTTGGTGAAATGTCTTGTCCCCTTAGTGAAATGTTCATTTCTTGCAGCTCCAGGCTGCACCCCCATGTCAATCAGTCTAGACAGGGATATGGAGTCATGTCTTTTGGCGTGCTCCTCTGTACGGTAAGTGCAGCGCATGGCTTTGATAACATCACTTCTGTGATGATCACACAAAAATACACCAGCGTGTGTATACTCAGTGATTCAATGAGTATGATCCGGAGGGTTCAGGCAGGTTCAGTGCGAAGACAATGGCTTGAATCATTACAGAAGTCCACTGTTCGTGGAGTCACCTTTATTTTTGTTCCGGGACACGCAGGCGTCGATGGAAATGAAAGAGCTGACAGGTTGGCTGGATCCGCTATCACTACTCACGGTCAGCCTATGGATCATGCTGATATTATCAATGCCCTCAGAGAAATGGGAAGGATAGAGGACTTTGGTGGCAGTGAATCCACATCACTCGCCAGAATGGCAGACTTGGGAATTAAGATCGGCACAGCAAAAAACGAGACGCACACCAGCTACGCCAGAAGACTTGTTAATCAACATAGAACTAGTACTATTAGCCATCGGACGTTGGGGTTCATACTGAGGGGAGGATCTGAGCACCTATGGACATGTCCGGTGTGCAATGAGGATAACCCAACTAACTAACTAACTAACTAACAAACTTCTGTCCAGTACTGAGCCAGCCAAAGCAACTTGCAGTGTCAGCAAGATAGTCTGCACGCTTGTTCCCTTGAACACCTGCATAACCTGGCACAAAGGTGAAGATTAGGGCAGATATCTATGAAGTGCTTAGTGTTTCAGTCCATTCTTGCCTGATAAATCCAGCTTGGATTATTTTTTTTCAAGTCACCCTATTCCCATGAATCCACCTGTCCTGCTTGCATACCGCCTACATCTTGTACTTTTCTATTATTAATAAAGAAAACTATCTATTGTATGTGGTACTGTAATATTTTTTGCACCCCTTTTTATTCTGAGTAATCCTGTGTTTTGTGAATCATGGAATCTACCACATCATCATCCCATAACACTTCATGTCCACGGGTCACTAGTTGCTGTTGACTGTCTCCACCTTTGACAGTCAGATACCATGGACTTCATGGTTTCATGCCTAAGGCTTGTCCAGTTACTCAGGTTCTGTATCCAGATCTTTCTTGGTCTGCCTCTTCCACTCTTTCCCTCTGCTGAGCTCTTTAGTATTGTTTTTGAGGGCTCTTTAGATCTTATTACGTGTCCGTACAATTGCATTTTCAGTCTTTTCACTGTAGTTAAAAGAGGTTCATAGTTGCCAGTGTGCCACATGACATTCACGAAAAACTCACAGGAATATAAAACGTGTTTGTTTTTGCAGCTGAAAGGGGTTCCCAAAGCAGATGTGATACCACAATGCACAGAGATGTTGACAGACATGGAACTCTTCCCCAAGCTGAAGGCAAAAGCAAAAACCCTGTCTGGTGGCATGAAACGGAAACTTTCTGTCTGCATTGCTCTTATAGGCAATTCCAAGGTAATATGTCAAACAAGACGGTGGCATGAAAAGAAAACTTTCTGTCTGCATTGCTCTTATAGGAAATTCCAAGGTAATATGTCAAACAAGACAGTGGCATGAAAAGAGAACTTTCTGTCTGCATTGCTCTTATAGGCAATTCCAAGGTAATATGTCAAACAAGACGGTGGCATGAAAAGAAAACTTTCTGTCTGTATTGCTCTTATAGAAAATTCCAAGGTAATATGTCAAACAAGACGGTGGCATGAAAAGAAAACTTTCTGTCTGCATTGCTCTTATAGGCAATTCCAAGGTAATATGTCAAACAAGACGGTGGCATGAAAAGAAAACTTTCTGTCTGCATTGCTCTTATAGGCAATTCCAAGGTAATATGTCAAACAAGACGGTGGCATGAAAAGAAAACTTTCTGTCTGCATTGCTCTTATAGGCAATTCCAAGGTAATATGTCAAACAAGACGGGGGCATGAAAAGAAAACTTTCTGTCTGCATTGCTCTTTTAGGAAATTCCAAGGTAATATGTCAAACAAGACACAGGCTAATTGTGTACATTTTTGTTTGTTAAGTCCAACAATATGCTTTCATGTTGTTCATTTAAATTACAACATATTTCACAATTAATTGCCGGGAATATTTGGTTCTCTCTTGTCAAGTGGGGATTCAGAAATTGCATCCGTCTATAATAATGCAAAATATAAATCCTTTAAAAAAAACTTATAGTGCATTGTTTTACTGAATGTATTACCATGGAAGTCTTAAACTAACAAGCATATCTCTCATTCCATAACACAGGATTGTCCTTTGTCTGTTGCTGTCACATCAGCATATTTTAACATTAGTTGGACATGTGATAACATACAACATGCAAGGTACATTCCCTATCAGTCACATGTTAGAGGCCAACAGATGACATGTTGTAGAAAAGTATACACAAAGGATATACTTATGAAGAATGTTATGAAAATAATATACACTAATTCACACATATGTTCAGGAAACAAGACAAAATCAATCAGTAGAAAGGTGTCTAATCCCTCCAGTGACTAAAACCATTCTCTAGACTTAAATGGGTAGCAGGAAATATCTAGGAAAGTAAAGATGGCCAGCATGATGCTGATCACATCACCTATCAAGTGTCAGTTAGTTTATAAAATTAGGGAGGAACTAAATACCAAAGGCCAAATACCCAATACATCTCAAGGCATCAAAATTGGACCATAATTTTTTTTTTGATATAAATTTTAAAAAATTGCTTTTTCCAACATTCCGGCAACACAAGTAGTAATTCATTTGAGTGATTTAAGTCTCAGCGCTCCAGTAAACACATATAGTTCTTTTAGTTATTTAGGTTTTATTCTTCTTCTTCATTTCTTCTTTTGTCATCTCACTGTTACCAGGTTGTAACCCAGTGTCCTGGTTTTCTATATTTATCTTGTGCTTCTCAGGTGGCTTGAGGGATGGATTTGTTCAACTTTTTGCAGGTTTCATCTACACCATTTAGCAAGGGGGTGTCTTTTCAAATACAAAAATAAAGAGGAGGGGGGGGGGGGGTCGTTCTTGCCATGTACTCAAGGGAAAGGGCGCGCGACCTGAAAAAGGTTGGAGACCACTGCTCCAGATAGAGCAGTTTTACAGTTTTTAGTAATCTCAGCTTTGTTGTTCCAGATAAAGCAAGCATTTCTTCTGAGTAATTTCAATTTTGTTACTTCAGATAAAACAAGCAGTTCTTTTTGTTGATGTTAGTTTTATTTTTTCAGGTAAGGCAAGCAATTCTTTTTGGTCATTTTAGTTTTGTTACATTGGATAAAGCAAGCAATTCTTTTTGATGATTTCAATTTTATTACTTTTATAAATCACGTAGTTCTTAGTGATTTTAGTTTTTTTGCACCATATTTATGTAAAAATGTGGAAGTATTAAAAAAACCACAAAAAAACAAAGGCAGATACGATTAAAGTTTATATTTGTTATTGCAGGTTGTGTTTTTAGATGAACCAACATCTGGCCTTGACCCCAATGCACGGCGAAACATTTGGACTGTGCTGCAGAAAAACCGGGCAGGAAGAACAATGGTACTCAGCACACATTACATGGATGAGGCAGATCTGCTTGGGGATAGGATTGCCATTATGGCTGAGGGCATTGTCAAGTGTTGTGGAAGCTCGCTTTTCTTGAAAAAGAAATATGGTACGTAAGCACCAGATTTGGAAATATATGATCATTGATTCTAATACAAAATATTTAGGTTTTTATTAAGGTTTTTTTAATTAATTATTTAATTGAACATGGATTTATTTATATGTGCTCCGAATTCTTCCCTTCTATCATACAAAGAGACTCTTGATTTAATGCATGAACTGTGTAACTAGCATCAATTACTTTTTTATTTTTTATTTTTCTAGAATCAACACATTTGATATGTTTTTTTTTTAAATAGTTACATTTTTTTACCTTCTTTCTTGTGCCCTTTATCTCAACTAGCACTAAATTGTCCTGTCCGTTGCCATCACAAGCAGCTCATCCCACATCTTTTCCATCTGATTCACCTCATTCTTGAATTCTGATCTTCCTTTGTCTTTTATGGCCTGCCTTTATTCCTTTGACCCAGGGGGTATATTTTTATAATTCTGAGATGTTGCCAGATCAGTAACTTATATGACATACTTGCTATGACGTACTGCTGCTGAGATATGTTTTTAAAAACGGTTCTCTTTAAAACTACTGCCACTTATTATGGAGTAAGCCGGAATTCAGTCCCCTGGCCGCATTGCAATTACAGAGTGGAAAAGAGGGAACAAAACAAATGACGTAATTACTGTGTGTTGGCGATAGACAGCGTGAACCGATGACTTAATTACTGTGTGTTGGTGATAGATGCACTGCTGTCATAATAGGGTTAGGGTTAGGGTTTGGGTTAGGGTTAGGGTATTGGTACTCCTTAAAACTACGGCCACTCCTAACCCTACCCCTAACCCTAACCCTAACCCTAACCCTAACCCTATTATGACAGCAGTGCATCTATCGCCAACACACAGTAAGTACGTCATTTGTTTCGTTCCCTCCTTTCCACTCCGTAATTGCAATGCGGCCAGGGGACTGAACTCCGGCGTACTCCAAAATAAGTGGCCGTAGTTTTAAGGAGAACCTTAAAAACTATTTCAGTACCAAAGTTAAAGCCAAGAGGATTGACTTAATTACATCGGGTGTAACCCATATGGATGTCTCTCTCTGCAGAATGGCTGGCCATCTGCTGAGAGCATCGAACTCAGTAGCTGCAAAGACCATTCCCAGAGATCTCCGTAATAATTGAACCACATCTGAACTGAATGACCCAGCTTTGAAACTAGATAACAACCTTCTGAGCCTGAGGCAAACAGCTTTGATCACTTTGCCACGGAGGCCCACAAGATTACCAATCATCTCACCATATGTTTATTGCAGTTACATAACTAGGTCAGCCAAGCTTATAATAAGCATCAGGAAGTGTCCTAGGAGGTTAAGTCCTCTTACGTGATTTTGATCTGATCACCCACATAATGTTGTGTTGTCTATAAGTTTCTGGGACTAGCATTAACCCTTTCACTCTGGAAGTTATCAAAACTGGCACTTCCGGTATGTGCCATACCCCCTGTAAGTGGCATTTAACCAGCACATCTATAGAGACTCGATCACAAGAATCTTTTCTATGAGAATAGATTCTGTGTGCATATGCACAAATTTTTAATAGGTCAGCCAGTGGCTATAATTGCTAAAAATAGCATTTGTATTTAAAAAAAAAATGATAAACTAGCTTTATTTATAGAAATTAAGGCCAGAGACTTCAGTGTAATTGACTGCGCATTGGACATCAGGTAACAATCCTTGTCCGGTCTCGGGTTCGAGCCGGGGAATGGAGAAAAGTTGAATACTCCCCAGATTAATGGTGTACTGGCACCAAGGCTGAAGGGCATCGGTGCTCATGACGCTGAGCCAAATGAGCTATGCTCAAATGCTTCTGGTTTAGAGAAAAAAAATTATTTACGATGTCATGATTTCCTGTTAGTCACTGTGGTCTCCAGCGAGCAGGGTCACATAGTTTAAAATGAGTCGCGATATAAATCTTTTGTAACCTAAGGAAGATGTGACCTGGTTGATTCTCCATGGCTATAGTTTTTTTATTGATTAGTCAGTACATAATTTTGTTTGTTTATAGGAATTCATTTGTGAACTGTGTAAAATGTGTTTTTTTTTTCCCAGAAGGAATATTTTTTTAAGGGAAAACCTGAAATTCGAAATTTACGGGTTCTTGGAATTTTTATTTTTCATTTCAAGTCAGTGGGAGGAAAAGGTTAAAGCACCTTAATTTATATGTCTGTTGATAAAGCTGTTGTGTCATGCAGGTGCCGGCTATCACATGGTTGTGGTCAAAGATGGGAACTGCGATGTCAAACAGATCATCCAACTTGTGAAGTCCCACATTGGCCAGGCAGAACTAGAGAGTAATGTGGGTGCTGAACTCAGTTTCATACTCCCCCAGAGTTGTGTGTCCAGTTTTGAGGCGCTGTTCTCTGAGCTGGAACAGAGACAGAAAGAGCTTGGGATAAGTAGTTTTGGAGCTTCAGTTACAACAATGGAGGAGGTTTTTCTCAAGTGAGAATTTCTTTCTTTCACATATTCATGCATTTTTAATGTTATTATTAAAGAGGGTCTTTGTGGTGAAATGGTTAAGCTGTTTGCCTCATATTCTGAAGATTGTGGGTTTAATTTAGGACTCTGTCCTTTGTCTCTTGAGTGCAGATGTTTTGGAGGTCATTGCTCGAGCTAAGGTGTTCAAACTATGTGCAGTGCTGTCTCATGTGACCAGCCACACTACTGATAAAGACCAAGCTATATAGGATAAAACCTGGGGCAATAAAGTCAATTTTTTCGCCTTCAGACACCATTTTAAACCCTACATTCAACCATTTCTCTGTAAAGTTTTCAGTTTAATCCTTTAAAAAAAAAACTTTTCCCCCACAATTTTCTTAAAAAGAAATGCATTGACACTCTAACATAAAAAAACTGGAGGAAGAGAAGAGAAGCAAAAGAAATTTTGTGTCTTGGTCAGTTTTTAATAAAAATCCATTATCGAAATTATTCATGTGAATCAAAATCCAGGGGATTGAAACCTATAAACATTAAGCAGTCAGGCAATCCTGCTAGCAATTGCATCATCACAGCCTTCAAATCACTACAAGGATGAATTTTGTGTATATACTGTCATTATTTTGTGGAGAAGTGCATTAAAAAAAATATATGTATGAAGGAAGTAATCACTGAATGTTTTAAATATATGTATGAAGGAAGTAATCACTGAATGTTTTAAATGTGTGTATGAAGGAAGTAATCACTGAATGTTTTAAATTTGTGTATGAAAGAAGTAATCACTGAATGTTTTAAATTTGTGTATGAAGGAAGTAATCACTGAATGTTTTAAATATATGTATGAAGGAAGTAATCACTGAATGTTTTAAATATATGTATGAAGGAAGTAATCACTGAATGTTTTAAATTTGTGTATGAAGGAAGTAATCACTGAATGTTTTAAATATATATATGAAGGAAGAAGAAATCACTGTATGTTTTAAATATATGTATTTAGGAAGTAATCATTGAATTTTTTAAATATATGTATTTAGGAAGTAATCATTGAATGTTTTAAATATATGTATGAAGGAAGTAATCACTGAATGTTTTAAATATATGTATGAAGGAAGTAATTACTGAATATAACAGAGCAGAGAAATAAGTGCTTTTCTTCCCTTTGCCCAGAAAACAGGAGTTTTGTTAACACAGCTGCAAAGAGCAAGTCATATCATCAGTTTATAGCGACATCATAGCGACAACAACAACAAAAAATCAGTTATTTAAACCCCAATTAATATCTCAAATATTTTTTTTGTGGGTAAATATAATCATACCCATAGGTGAATATAATAATTTAAAAAAGCATTTGGAGAGGTCTCCTTGAGAATCCAATCGCTTTTTTAAATGCCAGGTTGACTAATTAACATTTTTAAGCAAGTCTCAATGATAGAGGTTACTGGGTCGTGGCACGAGTCACCAGATGCATATTTATTTTAGACCTTGGAAATGCATTCCATTTAATGATTTAATCAAGCAAACATTCACAAAATTTTTAATGTTTAGATAAATAAATTTTAAAACATGTATTCATTGCCTGCGTAAAATAATAATTTTTTTAAAAAGGATTTTGTTGGAAATTCCAAGTGGTTCATTGCTCCTTTTTTTTTTTTTTTTTTAGCATTTGCAGAGCAAAGGGTTAATTCATTAAATTCTCCTTGCAGATACCACCAATGCCTTATTTATGTTTGTGGTTGGTTGTTTTTAAATTTACTTTGTATGTTGACAGGTTTTTATACTTTTATAAACCATTCCTCTTCAGGGTTGGTGAGTCAGTGGATGTTCTGACCGATAATTCTCACAAGGCCATCAACGGGTCAGCTGGCAATGCTCATAGCTCTTCTGATTCAGATAGTACGCCTTTATTAAGTGCTGCTCACAAAGCATATGGGTCAAACAAGCACAGGACGGACAATTTGGATTCCAGCGGTGAAAACCACTATGGCAGACCAGCGTCATGTGCCTTAGACTTGAGTGACTGCAGTGACATGTCGTCTGTTGTGGGTATGTATTGTTTCTTTTCCATTTGTTAATAAAGTTAACTTAAATGATTTCAAAATGTTGTTACAGGCTGTGAAAGTAAGTTGTCCCATCAGTGTTTCATGTATAATTGGTAACTACAGTGACATGTCTTCTCTTGTTAGTATGAGAGGTTTGCTGTGTATCCTTTTTTTAGTAGTGTTTATTTACTGTGTGGGTTCCAGAGTCCAAATTGTGGGAGGAAGGGGAAGGGGACCTCACCACCTGCAACAACCAAAAGAGTTAGTTGCATATACTTTACAGGAGTTGCAGAACCAACCATTAAATTACATCAGAATTACGAAGTGTGTTCGCAATGACTCAGTCACAGATGCCAAAAGCTCCCACAAGCATGTCATACAAGACTAATTAGGATTTGCTGAAATCAGGTATGTCTGGCCAGAAGAGGCAGATATTGCAACCTAGATGTAAACAACAATGTACTAATCACCCCTGTAAAGGGGAACATGGAAAAAAAAAAAAAGAATTTTGTAAGGCATAGTCTTAATAATACAGTCCTTCTTGTGTGGGTTTCGGGGCCCTATTATAGGAAAAACAAGAATAGACCCACTGGATGCATAGGCAACACTCAGGTTCTGGAACAGGACTGCAGTCCAGAAGTAGATGAATCAGAACTTTTCGCCAGAGTATCCGTTATACGCCAAAGAAGAAGCGCATGGGCATTTACAGCACGCTCAGCGGGCAGAACAGTCAAAGAAGCCAACGGCGCCTTCTCCATGACAACCAGCAGCATGACGATGGAGGTGATGGCAGTGACACAAGCGCTTGCCTGGCTTGAAACACAAAAATACACCCGCGTGTGTATACTCAGTGATTCAATGAGTATGATCCGGAGGGTTCAGGCAGGTTCAGTGCGAAGACAATGGCTTGAATCATTACAGAAGTCCACTGTCCGTGGAGTCACCTTTATTTTTGTTCCGGGACACGCAGGCGTCGATGGAAATGAAAGAGCTGACAGGTTGGCTGGATCCGCTATCACTACCGACGGTCAGCCTATGGATCATGCTGATATTATCAATGCCCTCAGAGAAATGGGAAGGATAGACGACTTTGGTGGCAGTGAATCCACATCACTCGCCAGAATGGCAGACTTGGGAATTAAGATCGGCACAGCAAAAAACGAGACGCACACCAGCTACGCCAGAAGACTTGTTAATCAACATAGAACTGGTACTATTGGCCATCGGACGTTGGGGTTCATACTGAGGGGAGGATCTGAGCACCTATGGACATGTCCGGAGTGCAATGAGGATAACCCAACTAACTAACTAACTAACTAACTAAATTTTCGCCAGAGTTTACAGATTGCGAACGCGAAGAAGAAGAAGATAATATGATCCAAATTCAGATGTATTATAAATAGATTTCCATGGCAGGTAGTTTGGAAGATAGCTTTTCTTGTGGCTTCAAGGCAGTGTTATGAGAGTTGCACCAGGAAAGAGTTTAGATCCTCACCATGTAGTACTCGCAAAGACGGCAGGGTGTGCACTATGACGGCAGTGGGTGCACTATGACCAACCTTCATTATGGAAACTGCACTATTTAAAAAGTTTTTTTTTGTTTTTTGTTTTTTGTTATTATACAGTGATAGCTCAGCTAATATATTTATTTCTGACATACAGATCTGACAAAACGGTTTTCAAAGAACTATGGAATGTATTTATACATTCAGCAGTTCATTGCCATGTTTCTCAAGAGAGTTCTACACACCCTGCGCAACAAACTGGTCACGATAACCCAGCTGGTCATACCCCTGTTCTTCACAGTCATGGGCATTGTAGTACTCAAAACTCTGCCGTCTGTCAAGGACTCTCCTCCGCTGCTGCTAACAGTGGATGACTTTGGCGGCAACTATATCCCCTTTGCTGCATCACCACTAGAACCTTCCAAAATGGCAGAGCAGTATGCACACCAGTTTCAACATGTGTCTGCTGCACATGTTGTCAATGTCAATCATGAACCAGGTTTTGAGAACGACACAGATCCCGCCAGATACCTAGCTACTAAAGGCATGGAGAGTATTGGAGTCTACAACTTGAAATACATGGTGGCTGCAGGTTTCAACAGTTCTGCACAAGAACACAGTCCTAAAGCAACAGCATATTATAACAACCAAGCCTATCATAGTATTGCTATTTCACTGGGTGCCTTGTTTAATGGCCTGCTGCAGTATTTTAGTAATAGCTCAGAGTACAGCTTTGAAACCATCAACCATCCTCTGCCGAGGCTTACTGCAAATAAGGTTAGTAGATATTGAAATATTTGTGCAGATTGAAATATGTGTGCAGAGGTCCATAAGATCAGTTAATCTTTGTAGAGGAAATCATACTGTACAAGAAAAGTTACCTGCTGTTTAGTTCTGTTCATCTCATGTGTGTTCCGGGATCCATTGTGAGGGGAAAAGAATTGACTTACTGCCCCCTTAACAAACATATAATAAAAGTTGACTTATTAGGGATGTTTCCTTTGAAGTGGGAGTGCATATGCCTGAGAGGGAAGGAAGCAACAGTCTGCATACAGTTAAGCTAGATCTGTAATATAGATGTGCACTCAGGTTCTGGAACAGGACTAAGTTCAGATGTGAATGAACAACCAGAACTTCACCGGAATTTAAAGCTGATGAATGTGAAAAAGAAAAAGAAGAATAGTTTTGTCCATATTTGGTTATAGTGAAAAACTTGCTCTCTTTTTGCTCTTTATGATATTCCTCTTGGTATTATGATGCAAAATATGGGATGTGATTTGTCATTGATAAGTAACACATAGGCTTGTGCAAACAAATTCTTACAAATGCGCAGGGATTAACTATATTTTTTCCTAAATGGCATATCTCAGACTATAACTGAGCAATACTAGACTAAGAGCACACCTCTGTCTGTCAGTTTTATTACTGCATCTAGAGCTGAAAAGGAAAGGAAAAAAAGAAGAACCGTCTTCAGAATTCAATAAGACATGTGTGTTAAAAAAGGTAGAATGAAATGAAAATGAATGCTTGGGATGACATTGGTAAAGTGTAAACTTTCACTCGCGCAAGCCAAAGTCTATATGTGAGTTACCAATGATGAAAGACATCTGCTGCATGGCAGTCTGAAAGATTTTAGAGGAGACTGGTTGAAAAGAGGAAAGTCATGGATGGCACTAGCTGAAGATACCATCGGCGGTCTTGTTCAAGCAAATACACAGGGGGCAGGAATGGGTCGATATGAATACCCGCAACAGTAGTTTCCATCAGGTCATTATCACGTTAGGAAGAGAATGTAGGGAGTGGTGTGATGGTATGGCAGAATTAGAAGTACAAAAACTGATTGATGAAAACACTGGGCTAGATGATGCAATAGTGTACACTGATGGTTCTTTTCATCTGGGTTTAAGATCTGGCTGGGGATTTTCAGCTAGAATGAAGGGAAAGATAGTGGCTGAACAAAACGGAGCTTTTTTATCTAAAACTTCAAGCATGATGATGGAGGTAGAGGCAATCGCTGCAGTTCTGAGATGGATAGCAGAAAATAAAGTTAACATAAAAATTATTGTGTCTGTTTCCTAATCAGTACTGTGAAAGGTTCAAAATGGACAAATGTGGCATGAGTGGATACCATGCAGCAGTATGTCAACATTGCAGGGAATCACATGGATATACTGTCTGGGATGTGCAGGAGTGCTAGGGAATGAAAGAGCGGATTTTCTGGCTACAAAAGTGAAAGCAACTGGAACACTTGTCCTGGAAAAGGGAGACATTGTGAAAACCAAAAATGAACGAATGTTGATAGAAGACGTGAGGTTAGATGAAAAAAAAAAACATATGTAAGAATGTGTCAACGAAGAATTAGGAGTGGATTCAGCAAGGGTGGGCATATAAGAGGAAGAGAATCATATGTGCATAATCAGTGTGCTACTGGAACAGTTAGCATCTAAACCTTAAGACATTCGCTGCGGGAGATGGAGCATCCGTGGGTATGCTCAGTGTGCTATGATTCTCAAATCAGTAATCAGTTGAAAAGTTGTTGCTTTCTTCTTGGAGGCAATTATTTGTTAATATTGCCCTTTCAGCTTGTGAAATTATTTTCAAACGTTTGTTTTAATGAAATGCCTCCTTACAATTCTCTAAAACTCTACCATGAGAAACTATAAGAGGAGAAAAAGAAATAAAGACATTTGGAGAAGTTTTTATAAAAGTCCAGAGGGTTGAAACCTATGACCACAGAGCAGACAGGCAGACATGAAGTCCTAGCTACATTGCAACCATCAAATCAATAAAATAATTCATATATTTTTTTTTTCAATACCAATTTTTTATTTCTTTAATTAAAGTAAAAGAATTAATCACTAAATACACATGGAGCAAAGAACTACTTTCTGCTTTCCATCCCTTTGACGATAATAAATATGGTTTTGATGACAAAGTGACATCAGGTTAGATTATTAGGACCTAAATAAAGACATCAAAATAAAAAAAAAGTGATTATTTTTAAACCTAATAAAATATCAACATTTATGTTGGGTGTATATATATATATGGTCATGCCCACCATGTATGCACACTATGCAGTTACATGGTTAATGTAAAGATTGTCAGTACTTTATCTCAAAGTCCTTGCAATCCTAATCCAATATTTATTTAGAAATCTGTGCCCGTACACCTGTGACTAAGTCCCTTTTAAGCGTATATGGTCAACATGTCTCAAGAATAAATAAGTTTGTGTTTCTAGTTGAAGTGACATTTTTAATATGGTTAAAATACTGTATTGAAATAAGCTCATCTTGGAAATAGAATTAGGAAGAAAGTGCAGATCAGACACCTCTGAGATCACTTCTTTTGCTAATGTTAATAAACTATTAACACTTTACTTCTTCAGCTAATTTTCCTCCTGTTTATTTTCTTACTTCCTCTGCCTTCTATCCCTCAATGGAAATAAGGCCCTCAACTAACTCACGCCAAGTCTTTCTGGCCTTCGCTGTTGCATGGAGCAGTATTTATCACTAATCTGCCGATATGCTGCGGCTGGTCCCCTGGCCTGTCCTATGGTCTTATGTTGTGGGCGTATTCCTTATTTTCAACAGTTTAACCGTTCAATCTTTCTTGTGTTGTTACTGCTCACTTGCATGATTATTTCAATGTTGTGCTACCTGCCCGATGGTTTGTGAGTATTGAAACGGGAATGTTTTTTTATATCTATGTTCTTTGTCAGTGGCTTCTTTTTTTCGGGGGGGGGGGGGGGGGGGGGGGGAAGCCACTGCCAAGGAACATAGATATTTTTAAAAAATTCAAGTTTTGAAACTCACGAGCAGTCGTGCATTTGGAGCTCCTCCTGCAGTACTTCTTATTTGTACACAGGCACCTCATAGAAACTTACGGCAACACAGCCTCCCACAAACACTATATATGGCAAGTGAATACGGCGAGCAAATGCAGAATGAAGCCGTCTCATAACACACCTACAACATAGTACAGGCCATGTGACCTGCTGCAGCTAGAATGGGAGGGAAAGTTCCCATGCACTTTCCCCATGGCCTCCCCATCTTGTTAACTTCACTCTTTAGCTGCCTTCTCCTTGTATTTTTTGATCTTCCTTTATTCCTGTGCCCATATGGGTTCCAGTGCAAAGACATTCTAGTTGTATTGTTCACAGGTTTTTTCAGTGCTTGTCCTGACCAAAGGCAGCCTCTTTTCTTCCCCTCTTGGTCCACTGGAACTTATTCAATCTCTCCTTAGAGCTCAGCATTAGTGATTCTAGCATATCATTTGATTTCCTCTTTTCTGCACAGGCACCAGTTAATAAAATTTTTGTAGTTTATTAGTAATTGCCTCAGTTGTTCTCCATTTCCGCTCCATACAATAGTACTGAATTAACATTAGAATTACCATTTTTAAGTTTAGTATTAATTTCCTGTTTATGTTTAGCATATTTTTGTTCTCCACAGATTCAAGATGAGAGGGATGGGAAGGACTTCACTGGTTTCACCCTAGGATTTAATATTACCTTCGGCATGGCTTTTCTAGCTAGCAGCTTTGTACTTTTTCTGGTCAAGGAGCGGTCAGTTAAAGCCAAGCACATTCAGTTTGTCAGCGGAGTTCACCCTGTCAACTTTTGGGTGTCCACCCTGTGTTGGGATCTCATCAACTTCCTTGTTCCATGCCTTTGCTTGATTGCAACCTTCTTTATATTTTCTATAACCAATTTTACAACTGGCTCACATTCTCTGCAGGTGCTATTACTTTTCTTAATGTACGGGTGGGCTATGCTGCCGTACATGTATTTCTTGTCTTTTGCATTCACTGTCCCATCAACTGCCTACGTCTGGATCACAATGTTTAACATACTGACAGGTAACCTATCGTTTGTGTTGTTACACTGTTTATGCAATAGACATATTCGTTTTTGTTTTAATTTATCTCATAACTTCTGGAGGATTCATAGCAACTTATTGCAACTGCTCTCTCCTCTCTCTTTCCATCTCTCACTGTCTGTCTGTTTATTTGTCTGCCTGGCTGCATACCTTCTTTTCTCTCTCTTTCTCTCGCCTCCACCCCAACCCTTTCTCTCTCTCTCTCTCTCTCTCTCTCTCTCTCTCTCTCTCTCTCTCTCTCTCTCTCTCTCTCTCTCTCTCTCTCTCTCTCTCTCTCTCTCTCTCTCTCAAAATGACGTGTTGTTATTTTTAAGCAGAAAGGAATGAATCATTCAATCAATCAAACAAGAATGAACATCCCTGCACCCAGGACAATCTAACATGGGCTGCATCTGCTTCATCAGTAGCCAGCAAGGAATTGATATGCTAATAGTACCTGTTGCTAACCTGACTACAAGTTTGCCTTTGTTTTCCTCTAAATGTTGAATATCTTTCATTCCCTCTGCAGTGTCCTGTTAAAGATACGCAACTGACATTTTTTTTAAATAACTTGTGCTTTGAACATTGATTATCCATGGTCAGTCAAAAATGAAATCAAAATATTCAATGTGTGAAAAAAAGATGCTTGCAGTGAATTCAATAATGCTGCACCTAAACATTTTAACATTGACTGTAAAAAGTAAAACCATTAGAGTAACCTTTCCTTAAAATTCTATAGTTTTAAACATTAAAAAACTAGTACTGAGCACTATGCAAATCAGTGTGTGCTGGGCATAGAATCAGCGCATTTTTTGCTGTTTGGGCAAATTTGAATTTCTCATTCAACCCCTCCCCCCACCCCATGTCTGTATCGATTGGACCTGAAAGAGTTATTGAGGTGTAGACATCATCATATAGCAGGTCCTTTACAAGACATTTTCTTGAAAGCCAGTATGATATTGACCACATTGTCCAAGAAGTGTTAATTGGTCTATGCAAATATCGATCTATCACCGTATACATCTAGTACACCTCAAGGTCAAATCAGTACTGTTGTATGGAGCGGAAACATGGAGAACAACTAAGGCAATTACTAATAAACTACAAACATTCATTAACTAGTGCCTGCGCAGAATAGAGGGAATTAAATTTTATGGTAGAATCACTAATGTCTAGCTTTTGGAGAATGAAACAAGTTCCAGTAGATCAAAATTCCAGTGGATCAAATTGCATCCTCCAACGGGATGACGAGAGTATAACATGTGACATCATCATATAGCAGGTCCTTTACAAAGTAGATAATGGCACAACAAAACAGTGATGATTATGATGTCACAGAAGATGCCTTTAATAATGTAAATTATCTGCCATTTTCCTTTAAAGGTGTGGCCACATTACTTGTGGTGGTGATTTTGACCATACCCCAGATTGGACTACAAGACGTATCAAACATACTTGAGTGGGTCTTCTTGGCTGTGTTCCCAAACTACTGCCTCTCTCAAGGAGTGTTTGATTTCTACCAGAACTACCAGTACCTGAATATTTGCAAGCTGGCCTATGAGTACAGCGGCTTTTGTCCCATTATGAAGCTGACAAATCAGACAAACCCTTGCTGTCCAGGTGGGTAAAATACAGTTAAATTTGATAGTTTATTGTGTTTGTGCGCGGAGGTGTGGGTGAGTGTTACACGGGCCACCTCAACTCCTAAAAAAACACCAGGTAAGTAACATTTAAGAAAGAAAAAAAACAGGTAAAAAGGAAATTTCCATGCATTAGGATGTATTAAGCATATGTTGTTAGCGCCATATTTTTAGACTTCGATCAGCTTGAGAACCGACTGCACACACATGTTGTGATTAATAGACTGACAACGCATAAGATGGAGACAAGCATTCTCTATGTAAATGGACAAGAATTACTTCTAAGGCCCTGGGTAATTGTCCCATGGATACTTTCTCCAGGATATTCAGATGTTTTTGGAAATAACAGGCACACGTATTGGCTAGTACTACACCAATGAGTGGATTGAGCACATGACCAGATATGCTGGTGATCCTGTGATTGCCCTGGTAAAATAGACTGTTGCTTTTAAGAGTTTTTGAATTTGTAGTTTACTTATAAAGGTTTCACTTATTTGCTTTATTTTAATTTATTGTATAAACATGATGAGATGCAAGGAAATACGCCAGGCAATAAACCGTACAAGTTTGTAACTTCTTTGTTCAAATTTGTTCTTTGTTGAAGAATTTTATTTTTTTAAGGTATGGTCTGTTGATAACTGTCACATGGAAAATATTGCCTTGTTTCAGACTTTTGTGGAGACTTCTGTTTGTACTACAACCAGAACTATCTTGGATGGGAGCAAGGTGGAATTGGCAGAATGCTCGTTTTTCTGACATTACAAGGAATTGTTATGTGGGTCTTCATATTTTCTTATGAATATGGATTGCTGCAAAAGGTAAATCCACATTATTTCTTTCAGATGAATAACTAGTGAAAAACTAAAAGCTAAAGTAGTAACCATATTGAGATTGTGGGAAAGGCTTCTCAGCCAGCTCACATGTAGCCTTCCTGTTTTCTGCTATCATGTGCACTTCATCATCTTCTTCTCATATTCCTTTAACATTGCGGTTTTCAGTGAAAAAACATTCTAGTTTTATATTGTTATTAAATTCCTCAACCATTTTTGCCACAGGAACACTAACAAGAATGGGTCACAACCCTGTGGGAATTCCCTTTAAAAAAATAATCATTAAAATTACAGTCACAAATAAATACTAACTTTTTTTTTTACATCAAACATCCCTGCACCCTTTAGGGAGTAATAAATAAACATGAACAGGGGGAAGTACTTAATGTAATACATTTCCCTAGGGATGTAAACAAAATATCAGATGTTTCATTCCTTGACCTCTATTATTGAGGCTGCCAGAGGTTAACATCAACTGGGTTTTTAAAATAGCTATTTGCTTCACAAGGAAACTTTCTAAATGCTTTTTTTTTTTTTTTTCATATCATGACCTCCTGTACACTGCACAGATGCGAACTCAGCCAGTAGCTTTAAACTCGCATCTTGTAAATATGTCATTGTAAATTCTGAAAAGGGACATTTACGGCAAATTGGACCCAACCAGAGCTGTCAGTTTTTATGGCTTCGCTGGGCAGCAGAGTCATGGCATTTGTGGTATGTAGTACTAACCCCAAGTTTTTGCAGACCTATTGACATTCAGTGGGGGATGTGGGTGTAGTCATGATTTTCTTCCCTGAACATTTCCTGGTACCCACTCACAAACCGACGGGCAGAGTTCACATTTCCTGATACCCACTCACAAACCGAAGGGCAGAGTTCACATTTCCTGTTACCCACTCACAAACCGAAGGGTAGAGTTCACATTTCCTGGTACCCACTCACAAACCGAAAGGCAGAGTTCATATTACCTGGTACCCACTCACAAACCGAAAGGCAGAGTTCATATTTCCTGGTACCCACTCACAAACCGAAAGGCAGAGTTCACATTTCCTGGTACCCACTCACAAACCGAAAGGCAGAGTTCATATTTCCTGGTACCCACTTACAAACCGAAAGGCAGAGTTCACACCTAAACCTAGCCTTTAGAGCCACTAGCTTTACCTACATTACCTGACAGGTGCATAATCAGCTACAGAGGAAAAAACCATGAAAAATGAAGAGAACAGCTGAGCTCATTGTGTAATCCTTTTTGTAAAACTAAGAGCTGAAAGAAAAGTTAAATAGAGGTAAAGGACACTTTGAACGGCAGTGGCGCATTGGGTAAGTGATATGTCAGGCTAAGACTCATATTTTGAAAGACTTTTTGGCACTTGTTGGGTGATGTGGTCAATATCATGCCAGCCTGCTGACAGAAAAAATACAGTGCTACCTTGGTGTATGTCCAAGCTCTGTTCCAGATCCTTGGACGTATGGCAAACAGTACGTATATGAAACAAATTTTCCCATAAAAATTAAAGGGAGAATTATTAATCAATTCCAATGAAAACATCTTATTTCAAGGGCATATTATAAATTGATGGGGTTGTAGAAACTAATTTATACACTACTTAATACTTTAGGACATAACTACAAAAGAATAAAATTAAATAAATGAAAATTTAGCCTCACTTTATGTTGCTGAGAAGAGTTCAGTACCTACTAGGATGGTACTGAGAAGGGTGGAGGAGGAGATGCTATTGTATGGAAGGAGAGTTCCCTTCCAATAAAACTTAAGGAATCTGACATTCTTGTGCTTTTCCTTTAATTTTTGCTGTATTTTTTTGTCTGCTTTGAGCTGGTTGAGGTAAACAAGGGTAGCATGCGGTGTTGTGACTCGGTTTGACTCATACAAGTTCTAGCACTTGAGCCATTTTCCAAATAAAGGATGTGTACCAAGCAGAATATTTAACGTCTAAACAGGACGTATATTACGTTGGACTTATTTCAAAGCAGACATACATGGAGGTATCACTTTACACTGTTAATTGTATGTATGCTTTATTCAATGTGTATATTTATCCTATTTTCATTATTCAATTTCAATCTATACATGTTTACATCGACTAAATTGTATATGTTACAGTTTGTCTACAAATTGTCACCAGCCAAGCAGGTCATACCATCAGCAGCAATGTATACCTCACAACTCAGCCATAACTTACAGGTGCATGAAGATGAGGATGTGGCTCAGGAGAGATACAGAATTGAACATTCTGACAGATTAGAACTGTTGAGGTATTTATAATTATCTTTCTTGCTTCTCCCCTTTTTACCTTGACACTTTCTCTTCTTCTTCTTCAGGGATCTTTCTGGTCATGCACTTTATCCGTTCTGAGTCATAAACTGGAATGTTAGCTCGAGGTCTCTTACTTTTTCCCAAAGCTTAGTTGTCAGGTCTATTTGGTTAGGCCTAGATGTTGCTTTGCAGCGCCTCCAGGAGAGAATGTTGATGTTGAATTAGGAATCGACATCACAGCACTTGGGACACCTCCATAAGTGCTCTGTTCCCATCTTCAGCAGCAAGATAAGAGTTAAAAAAATTCTGATGGTTCCAGTAACTGTTTGATTGTGTATCCATCTCGACTTTCCTCTGAGTGTTGAACGTGGGCTAGATCCCCTTGTAACTCCTCCCAGTTCCATTCTCCTCAGACCGTAATGATCTATCTGTGCCTTGGCACCGTTCACTCGCTCCCAAAGGGCCCTCACAACAACCAGCTTCTCATACATCAGCTCACCACCAAGTGGCACAGAACTGCCCAGTCTTTTGTAATAAATTTAGCGAGACTATAAGCTATTTTGTATGTTAATTATTTTATAGGGGCAATAATCTGTTACCCGATAGTATTCGAATAGCCTCTGATTATATGTATATTGGCTATATTAGTATTTTCGAGTGTGAAAGAGGGTTCCACAGTTGAGCTGCGGTGTATGCTAGACTTGTTTTGTATTGGTTTATCCTAGCTTTAGGGATATGTAATGTGTTCAGGCATTTGCTATGCCTTCCGTTTTATTTAAACAATTGCCAAAAGCAAGCTGGAGTATTTAAGGATATTTTGCTAAAAAAGTTTAGCCTTATTAACAAATAGATGTTCACAGAGTGGTAATAACATAAGACAAGACCTTTATTTGTTTCGAAAGTGTCTCCTATGATTATTGCTTATCAAGTGTATGGCTTATTAACGAAGTGATGTAAGCCGTTTCATCATTTAATTGGAGCAGCCATATTGTAGGGCAATAGTCTATATTTGTCTGGATTTGAGAAGTAAAGAATGTCTTTCTAGTATTTTCGTCAAGTAAAAGTAAAGGACCCTTTTCCACACCTTAGGCGTATAGGGCAGATAGGGCTAGACCTATATTTTTATAGACCAATCGGTACAAGATGAGTGATGTAGTCAGCATCACACCAGCTGCCTCTATTTTCAGGAACTGCAACCGGTACCCATTCAAGGATGGGTCAACCTAGGAGCCAAGGTAATTTTTTGACACAAGTCTGGCTCCTCCACGACCTTCCGATCCACAGCAAGCATCTATTTTTATCAAGGAAGTTTTTAATCTTTTTAAGTTGTATAATTTTAAATGTTTGTTTTACATGTGTTTGCACATGAGAGTGTTAGAAGTGCAAACTGACAAGGAATATCATAGATTAAAAATTTGTTCTTTTAAAGTTGCAAACTGGCAACAATTGAGATCTCTTGTAAATGACTTTTGCTTGCTTGCTTTCTTGTTGTACCCCACTAGGACATCACACAAGCACAAATCACCCGGTGACACAAAGTGCCACCGTTACGATGAGGATCACCCGTGGAGAGGTCCCAGAAACCCCTTTCAGGCATTATGGCCACAATTGTGGCCCAGCTTTATTCACCGCCCCTGGAAAAAGCCAGGGTGGGGCTTCAAAAAACGAAAAATTGCATCCAACACAGGGAATAATACTAAAGTCTTATGTGATAACAACAATGGATATAGAGAGATCCTAGTTGACCATTATGGGTTATTATTGAGCTTTACAGAGTTTTTGTTTTTTCTGATATTGGATGTTTTTGTTTGTCAGTTATATTTGTATACTCTTTGACAATTATAACAGATGTAATGTGTTAAGCATAGTATATCATAAGTATACTTTTTAAAGTAATTGTGATAATCAGATTGTGTTATCTGTCTTTTAAAATATTCAAAAGGGAGCTGGGTTATTATTTTTTTGCTTTGTGAGGATAATACAAATAACTTAAATAGAAACCTTGGTGATATCCTACAATTAAACAAAATATGTTAACAAAGCTGGAGCTTGGCTTTGAGAAAGAATACATTAAATGTTTCATTTCCCTCTGTTGCTTTAAAAAAATAGCCTAGTTGTTAAGGTGCTGGCTCTCATGCGAGAAACCTGAGTTCAATCTTAGGTAAGGGTTGGAGAATGTTACTGTTGGGGATAAAAGTCTGCACTCCTACGGGGACAAATGAACTGAACTGAATTTTTACCCCACCAGGACATCACACAAGCGATAAACACCCGATGACACAAAGTGCCACCATGTGGATGAGGATCGCCGTGGAGAGGTCCCAGAAACCACGTTCAGACATTTGGCCATATACATGGCCTGCCTATATTGCGGCCCCTGGCAAAAGCCAGAGTAGGGCCTCAAATGAAAAAAAATTTCGTCCTAAGAAGGACGAAAGTGGAATATGCTAGTAACTTAGGGGACAAATCTATTGTATGTTAACATTATTGTAAGGGCTGACCCCAGGGGATATGATCCATTGTTAGTGTAAGTTCATATAATAATAATAATATTCTTTCAGATTTAATATTGTTTGAAATTAGGGTTAGTGTTAGAGTTAGGGCTAACCCTAACCCAAGACTAACCCAAACCCTAATCCTAACATCAAACAATATCAAATATGAAAAAATATTATTCTTATGTGAATGTACACAAACAATGGATTGTCTCCCTTATGGTCACCATAAACAACAATTGATTGCGTCTCCCCTGGAGTGCCCAAACATCTGTTTCTTTTTAGCGTTTGGGTACATTTACTCAGGTCAGACCGTCTAGGAACTCACATGTAAACTGCAGGTTATGGTTCCCCACGGCAGCTGGCTCTGCACACTTTGCTCTTGAGGCCAGATTTATTTTTTAAGTTATAGGTAGAGTGGGCAGGCTTGCAGAATGTGCTCAGGTGTTTGTGGTTCCATCTGATATGCACACTGTGGAGACTGTACAGTCTTTATTTTATGTATGTGGTCTGCTGATGGGGGTCTACTACTGGTTTGTTCTCTCTGCAATTCCTTGTATTTTCCTTTGATAAGTGTTTTGATTTATGTTAATAACAATGAATGGGTGTGCTGTTTCTCCTTTGTTCCATTTTTGTTTTTGTTGCAAGTCTGACCACTAATTCATTTCCTGGTATACCGCAGTGAGTTGGGATCCACTGGAGAATGATTTGATTGTTTTCTCAGAGTTTGTTTAGCTGGCAGATCAGTTCTCTTACCATGTTGTCTCGTGGATCTTTCTGAGTCGCCTGGTGGACTGACATGCAGTCACACAGCTGAACAATTTGCTGTTTTTAATTTTACAAGACAAAAATACAAATTCTAACCAACAAGTTTGAGGCGGCTGCACTAGCCATGCAGCCTTAAATCCTCGGGCTGTTTCTCCTGTCCTACACAGGGTAAATACGGGCAGTAAAGACAATTTATAATTTGGTTAAATGTGTCGATTTCTTTCAGGTCTAACAAGTTAATCCTAGATGGCCTAACCAAGTATTACGGCAACATTCGAGCTGTCGACCATCTCAGTATAGGTATCCCAGCAGGGGAATGCTTTGGTCTCCTTGGTATCAACGGAGCTGGCAAATCCACTACCTTTATGATGCTGACAGGAGACACACCAATAAGTAGTGGAGAGGCATATATAGATTCTTGCAGTGTAAAAACTCACAAACAGATGGTAAGTTATCTTTTTTTTTTATTTGAGTCTCTGCTTCATAAATATGTGTTTTTGCTGTAAACAGATTTTTTTGACGTTTTGCTGTGTGTGCTTTTTATGTATCTAAATGTAGGCCAGAGTAGCATTTATAAAAATATGTTGTGAATATTTTGTTGGTGTTATTAAAGTGTATTAGAATAAATCATACAGGATACAGAAGGGAGGGAGAGGTTAACAAAAAAGGGGGGAAGGGGTGCTATGAGGGGGCAGGGGGTGAGGAGTCGAAGCTTGGCATATGAGTTATTTTACAGTTCTATGGCTTAGATGTTAGTGAACGTGTTTAACAATCCCATGATTCTTGAGAACTAGGGTTTGATATGAGAATCACACCTTAGAAGAGATTGGGAGCCTCAGCACAAAATCCCAAATGTTCCCAAACATAGTGGTGAGTGGCTGTAGCCAACCTTCATCCCTGAGAATATGTTTTTTTTAAAATATGAATTATTCATCAGATACATTTTTGTTAACATTAGTCACAATTGCAGCATCCATGGCTTAGTCGTTGTGAGTCCAACTCGTAATTCCAGTGTACCGCGATCGAAACCCACTGCTGGCTTTGTGGATTTTTATCATAGTATGGGGCGTCGTAGGTCAAACCAGCCTAAAATGCATACCAGGATGGCTGTCCTGGGAAAGTAAAGATGGCTGGCAAAATGCTTACCATATTACCCACCTAGTGCTGATGGTCTGTAAACATATGGGCGCTCTTCCCGTATACCCAATGCACCTAAATTCGTGAAAAGGGATCTTTACTTTACTTTACTTATTAGTCACAAATATATCAGATAATCCTAGCATCATAGCACAATGACACCACACTGTAAAATTAGTCTATATTTGTTCTGTAACTCACATCTTCTAACAGAAATGACGTATTAACGTTTGCCAACTTTTCAGGCTCGCAGGAAACTAGGCTACTGCCCGCAGTTTGATGCACTGATAGATCAGCTAACTGGACGAGAGATACTGACTTTGTTTGCCCGTCTTCGGGGAATTGTAGAGAGTGAGATACCAGAGGCTGTCAGTGACATGATGGATGCACTTACACTGATGCCACACGCTGACAAACAGTGTCGAACATACAGGTTACATTCCAGTTTTATTCTTCTTCTTCTTCTTAGTGTTCTTTACTTTTCTTTACTTAGTTGCTCCTCTTCTACCTTGGGGTGTAGAGGTTTGTCAGAGAGATCGTCAGACATCTCTATCAGCAGTTCCTGGCTTTGTTCCATTCCAGTCCTCTGTCAGTTAGGGACTGTCAGATGTTGTCTTCCCAGCGGACCCTGGGTTGCCCTGAAGGTCTGGTTTCCTGGTTTTTAGGATCACATGCCTGCTATGGTGGCCATTTTTCTCCCACTCTGCATACATGTCCAAACCATCGTAACTGTGACTGATCCACTCTGGATTGTAAGGACTGGGTATCAAGATCTTGACAAATTGACTGATTGCGGACTTTGTCCCTTCTTGTCACTTGGACTAACTTTCTCAGATATCTCATTTCTGAGGCCTGAAGCTGGCTTCTGTGAGATGTTATGATTGCCCATGACTCACACTAGTAGGTCAGGACTGGTACATAGGTAGAGCGGTAAATAGCCATTTTCTTCCTACTGCCAATTTCTCTTTTGCTAAGAAACCCTCAGTTTATGGTCTGGAAGAGTCTCCTAGCAGCTGCTTTTCATGTAGCCAGCTTAGTCTTAATGCCTCTGCTTCGGTCTATTACAACTCCAAGGTATTTGAACTGGTTGACCTGCTCCAATGCATACTGTCCCATCATGATCTGGTGTTTATTCTCCTTTCTTGAGATAACCATAGTTTTAGTTTTGGAGATACTGATGGTAATCCCTGTCTTCTCAAGCTCATCCAGACAAGTAAGTTGGACTGAAGGTGTGCCTCTGATTTAGCTATCAGGGCCACATTGTCTGCAAATGCCAGCTCTTATATACAGGTTGGTCAGGGCCACATTGTCTGCAAATGCCAGCTCTTATATACAGGTTGGTCAGGGCCACATTGTCTGCAAATGCCAGCTCTTATATACAGGTTGGTCAGGGCCACATTGTCTGCAAATGCCAGCTCTTATATACAGGTTGGTCAGGGCCACTTGTCTGCAAATGCCAGCTCTGATATACAGGTTGGTCAGGGCCACATTGTCTGCAAATGCCAGCTCTTATATACAGGTTGGTCAGGGCCACATTGTCTGCAAATGCCAGCTCTTATATACAGGTTGGTCTCATCTTCAAGTATCATACTGAGTACCTTCTTGGTGTTCACCAGCTGTAAACTCTAGCGGAAAGTTCTGGTTGTTTGTCCACTTCTGGGATCAAACCCACAATTACAAAAAGGTTCGCAAAACCTTAACTAAAACACTGACGTATCGGTATAAGCATAACACTTTAAGCAATGTGTTTGCTATGTTTATACTTGTTTGAATCCTTTGTGGTAAGGTCAATAAGGGTACCTTTTTACTCCAGTGGCATATGATGCTGGATTCATATTTTTTTAAAGCAATTCAGCACTTCACGGATTGATATGGCCATCATCATACTGGCCAGATGTACTTTCTGGGATATTACCTAGTACTCATGTAATACTGGATTGACATAGAAGCAAAGGTCAATATTTTAACAATCTTACCTAATATGGATTTGAACCCAAAACTTCAGGCCAACACGCCAGCATCTAGCTACTGTGCTACCGTGGTTCCAGAATTCTATATAGTGCTGATACTTACTAAGCCACTGCAGTAGTTTTCTATTATCTTGTTTCTTATACCTAGTCTTTTATCCTGCAGTCCTACATTCATTTTGAGGATGCTTTCTAGAAGGTTTCAGTCTGGAACCTATGTCAGTTTGAATTTGAATTAAGTCTCAGTGTTGAAGCTTAATAAAGTCTAAATATTGAATTTGAATTCACGCTTAATGTTTAGCGAATTTTAAGACCCGTACATTGACATTATATACACCTTTGAATTGCTGATCCGCAGACTGCACGTTTCACAAACTGATACAAGTGCTACTTTTATGTGACTTTATCAGTATCTTCATATCATATAGTAGACTTCCGTGTGGGCTACGGGGCTTCTTTTTGGGGGAAGACAAAAGAATAGACCCACTGCCTTCAACAGTCATTTTGTGAAAGGTTACTCGTTAGTTTTTTTTTTAAACTGAGTATATTGGTAAAAAAGGCAGAGATTTTGTTGCCTAGCTGAAACCGCAAATCAGCATGCCAACTGAAAAAATTTCATCTCCAGGGTTGCTTTTGATTTATTTTTCAAATGATCTAGTCCAAATGTACCTTAATTGATGAGAGTGATTTTATCTTCATATATCATGTATCTTATTTAATGAGAGTGATTTTACCCACAGATATCTACAAATATGTAATCAAAGAGAGATGTAGGAAATAACACTGTCTACATGTTATACTTCAGTATATTGCTTTCAGTGACCTTATCGTTATTTCTGTTGTGATAATTTTATTCAGGGAGAAATAGGTACTTTATAGATTTATGGGGTGTGAGAGTGGTGCGTGTGTGTGAGAGCAAGGAGGAGGCACAAGAGAAGGACCCCCCAAAAAATACCTCCACAAGTACGATTATTTTTAAATTGTTTACAACCAGTTATATAAATAGCTATATTTTACAAATATTTTTAGAAGCAGTAAGTTTAGTTTTAAACAAACAGCAGTTTTCCCGTATAGGTTCTGGGGCCCTATTATAGGGAGAAAAAGAATAGACCCACTGCTTACCCAAAAGCATATCGTAAGAGTCAACTAATTAGGAGCTTCCTTCAAAGTCAGAGTGCATCTGCCTGAGAGGCAAGGAACCAGCAGTCTGCATACAAATGAATCAGATCTGTCAAACGGATGCACACGTAACACTCAGGTTCTAGAACAGGACTGCCGTCAAAAAGTGGATGAAAAACCAGAACTTTCTACCAGAGTTTACAGCTGGTGAACACGAAGGAGAAAAAGAAGAAACAAACAGTTAAGTAACACTACCTAGTTGTTTTTGTTGATAACAACAACAACAAACACAAGGAGGCACACACAAAGGCATACATGCACACACACACACACACTTTTGTATTTTATTTACAGTTATTTGCACACCTTCTGTTTATTAATGCACAGTGGAGGAAATAAACGGAAACTGAGCACAGGCATTGCACTTATTGGAGATCCAGATGTCATATTCCTCGATGAACCAACAACTGGGATGGATCCAGTGGCTCGCAGAATGTTATGGAAAGTCCTCGCTGCAGTCAGAGATAGTGGCAGGACCCTAATATTGACCTCTCACAGGTTACTTTCTCTTTTTTTTAATAAACTTACATGGTCGTTATATTAATGATAATTATATCACCTTCATTCATGTTATTTCCAAATTTGTTATTAGGCTGCAACAAGTTCTTTCCACTGATTTATACTGTAAACATGATGATAATACACCTATAAAAGTCCTTGTCAAAACGATATGCCTTAAATAAAATGCTAAAACTCAACAAATATTTGACTAAAATTGTCGAAATCTGATATAGACACCTGTAATTCTAACAGCATGGTCATGAATATTAAGCAGTGACATCCCAAGTTTTAGTTTATTTCTGCTATGCAAGATAACATATATATTTTTTCCCCAGCTTTTTCATAGTTTTACAGTAGCTCAGTGGAAGTTATTTGTTGTGCAAGCTTGTTTACATTAATATCATCATGTTTTTTGTGGTAAGTTTACATATCGAAGTGAGTCACACAAGATCGTTCAGATTGAGCAGCAATGTTTGGGGAGAAAAATTATTGTTGATCATTAAAATAAAGTAAAAGTAAAGGTCACTTTACAGCCAGTGGCACATTGGGCAAATGAGGCTGAACTCATAGACCAGTCAGCCCTTGGGGGAGGGAAGGGAAGTGATGTGGTAAACGTCACAGTGACTGCATTTACTTCCCAGGACTTTACCTGGTCTCTATTGAAAGTTAGTTTGACCACAGAACCAAGGTCATGTCTGAAAAAATCCATCTGCACATGGATTTGAACCAATGACCTTTGGATCCATAGGTGAGCATCCAGCCACTATACTGTGGTGGCTGCTTTGTTTGTCATTGGCTGTTGAAAAAGAGATTATTTGTACAGTCACAGAAAATTGTCTCTTTAGGGCCACACAAGTGGTGTAGTGTTAAAAAGATAATAAAATCTGCGGCTTAAAGAAAACTGTTCCTGTTCTACCCAGAAAATCCAGAACAATGAGGGACGTTACTTTCCAAAGGAAGAATTTGATCCACAGAATAAATGAGCTACTATGTGCAGATGATAAGTGCTTGTTCTGCAAGACCATTCAAACAGGCTAAGTTTAACATACAGAATATATAACATGAATAGAAATACTACTAAAACTGAAGGTCAGCAGAATTCCTAGTCTGCTACATATCGGGTTGAATGGTACATTCTGAAGCAAGTTGACAAATTTAAATATCTAAGAAATTTTCTCGAAGAATGGAAGATTAGATGGGGAAATAAAAACAAGATGCCAACAAGCCAGTGCACTTATATAAAAACTGACACCATTATTAAGACATCCAAACATAAGTATAGGTGCCAAGAAACAGATTATAAACAGCCTATTCATACCAACACTGTGCTACCTGTGCCAGATTTGGACATTATCAAAGGTAGGTAGGTAAACCTACATAAAAATTAACACCTGGGAAATGAGATACCTGAGAAAAGCTTCCACTTAACCATCCAAGACAAAGTTAGAAATGATATTATCAAACAGACTGTAGAAACATCTTGCTGCAAATTCATTGAGAAACAAAAAGATTAAATGGTTTAGTCATTTAGTAAGAATGCAGCCAGAACAACTACCAATGCATGCACTACACGGGAAAAGATCTGAAGTGAAAACAAGAGGCCACCCTAGGAGAACATGGATTGATGACATTAAAGAGCTTCTACATCACCAAGGTATCACAATAGCCATTGCTGCCCATTAAGCAATGGATCACAAATTGTTCCTTCCCACAAAGATTAACAACAGAAGTGGTAATTGAGGAGGATGATGACTTTCCCTGCAAATTATAAAATCACAGTGACATACAAAACATAGGGCTGTATAAAAAAAAAAAGCATTGTGGTTATGCAACGGTCCTGGAGATAATAGAAGACGTTTGAAGGCATATGTCTTGAAACAGAATTACAGAATGTCCTTACAGTAGAATCTATATAACCACATAAATGCACCAGTGGTGCATCAGGTGTATGATGCTAGACTCATATTTTTGTTTAAAAAAGCTGGCACTCACTTAGTAGATGATGTGGTCAACACAAAAATAAACATAGACCACAAATACATGAAGAAGTGAATTAGATACAAATGACTGAGATGGGGGAAGAATTGGGGACGATCTGTGCAAGATGGCTAAGATTAGGATAATAGTAAGAAGTTAGTTGATGGTTTATGCTCCATTAGAGGATAAAAGGCAAAGGAAGAAGAAGAAAGCCCTTATGTTGGTTTTGTATTTGTATGTGAATTAATGTTTCAGTTAAACTTTGAAACATTTTTTTAATTGTCAGTTAGAAGAAGGCTATTACTAAGATGAAAAACATGGCATGATTGAACTGAGCTGTTCAGTTTCTTATTGGACATACACCTAAATTCCCATGTGTTGAATCAGGTCCTGGTCATATATGGTTGTAATGTCATTTAACAGTAGGCAGTTCTACCTGTTCTCTGTTAAGACTAAATGTTGGGCAGCATATGCTAAACCTGACATCCTACATTGTACCAACAGCTTCTAGTGAAGGATTGCATTGGGGAGGATACTAGCCTTATCCTAGGATGAGGACATGTAACCTGAAAACGATGTTATGACCGGACAGACCAGGCCCTTAGCCTTGGTTGGCAGCTGGTTTACGAAGGAAGCACTGACAGGCTTACAGAAAGAGCACTGCTCTTCTCATTCAGCAGCATCTGCAGCATGTTTTCTTCCAAATTTATTGGCGTTGCTTTTCTTTCATAGTTACCAAAGCAGTCTAATATAGAGGTCATACTGCATGGGCAATACATGATCTCTACAATACTGCCCAGTCTTCATACTATGGAGAGAAGGAACTTTATCCCTGGCCTTAATTGGTATCACCATGGGTTTGGATTCCTATGCCTCCCAAAAGTATAATGGAACACTATTGTCTGGTCATTGCATTTCACCTTATAGATTTACTTTAGGGTTTAATCATTAGCAAAGACAGTTTCATGACACTGGTTTGTTTTCTTTCCCTGTTTAATCAATGTATTTTGTAAATAACAGGAGAAAAAGAATGCATCTTTGTTTCTTCTCCGACTGTATATGTAGATTTCCAACATAGTTGCTTAATGTTGTCCACAATTGGTAAAGAAAGTAGTTATAATATTAAATACTTATTTTCCCTATCCACAGCATGGAAGAGTGTGAAGCTCTGTGCACTCGTCTGGCAATCATGGTCAATGGTCAGTTCAAATGTCTGGGCAGTATCCAGCACCTCAAGAACAAATTTGGAGAGGGCTACACTTTCACAGCCAAAGTCGCCTATCCTCCAGATGGCACGGAACCTGACTTAATACCCCTGCAGAACTTCATCAACGCAACATTCCCTAAAAATAAGCTGACAGATGTCCATGAGAATATGGTCAATTATCACATCACAGATACTACTCTCACCTGGGCACAGGTGTTTGGTGAGCTGGAGCGGGCAAAGGAGAAGCTGAATATAGAAGACTATCTCATTAGTCAAACGTCTCTGGAACAGGTGTTTATTTACTTTGCTCGAATGCAGGACTCTAGTGAAAATTTAAACCAAGGATCAGGGAGTATATGTAGGTGTTGTTTAGCCTGGGTAGGTAAACTATGTGCCTGTGGGGATGCAGAACAAAGCAGAACTCATAGCAATGAAAGAGTGCCTTCACAAATCAGAATATAATATTCCATTGAGTGAAGTTTTTTGTTGAATGAATAAATCAGTAAATCCACAATGGGCATCACTGCTCTTGGGATATACCCACACTTGCTTTGTCCTCTTTCTCAGCAGCCAACAAATTGTTTCTGATTGGTGCCAGTGGCAACCTGATTAAAAGTTTGCCTGTCCCCCCCCCCCCCCTTTTTTTTTCCCTTTGCACATTGAATATCATTCGAACCATCTGCACACTGCCCACTGAATCAGCCTCTTCATGTATGGATACTATCTTCTGTTGCACTGTCTACTTCAAGACCATATCTGCCGTATCATAAAGTAGTTTGCCATCCAAAGGAGCACAGCATCCAACCATCAACAAACTCATTACCCCGCACACTGGAATTCATGGGCAGAAATCTCCTGATCTGAACCTTACTCTGCTTGTAGGACACCATTTCTTTTTGTGTGTGTGCTAAATTTCATGTCATTTAATATCAGTTGCGTATCCTTTAGAGGATTTGCACTGTCAACCCCAGCATTTGTTGGCTGTTTTAGTTTTACTGGGCAATTTTATGTTCAGTAGTTTGCCATTATTGTCTGTGAATGGTTGGCTGTCATAATCCCTGTCAAAATTAATGCAAGTTGGGCTGCTATTGCCCATAGCTGGAATCAAAAAAGGTACCTCACATTTAATGTAACATTTACAAAATTCATAGATTTTTGAATGTGGTTAGGCAACACAGCTTGATGATGTAGAACAGAGCAGACATCATGGCTACAAAAGAGTGCTTTTGCCATTGGTGTATAATATTTAATTCTGTGGAGATTTTTCCTGTTGTTGGTTATCAAAGAAATTTGATTTTCTTATGTCACTTTATTGAATGGCGCTTCCACAAAACCATAGATACATTGTGTGTAGATAGGCAGTGTAGGTATCTGTGGTAATGCAGAACAAATAGAACATTTAGTGATTTGACAAGATTTAACTCTATAAAAAGTTCATTGTGTTGATTCTTTGAGACCCAAGAGGTGGTAATGCAGATTTTAAGTGTCACAAGTGTAGCACATTAAAATAGACCATACTAATTCAGCTGCCACGCAACATATACATAGCATACATCAAAGTTGCCAGGGATTGTTGAGGAATAAAATTAAAATGTAGCTACAACAAATAATTGTGTCAGTAGTTAAAAATTTTTGATAAACAGATGCCATGTTTATGCTCCACAACAAATGGATAAAATATATCCAGTATAAATTGCAAATCAACATGAACCACTTAGTAACCTATGTTGTTTTTATCGATCTAGCGGCGCATGAGCTTTCGCCCTTTGGCTGAATGCCATATAGTGGAATTTACATGTTTTCACAAGCTGTTCTTTTCCTCTATGCAAGGTGTTCCACTTGTCTGGTCTCGGAGTGAGTAGCATTCTTCTAGTCTCACAGAGTTTTGGACACTCAAAGAGATGATGATCAACAGTTTCGTAGGGGTAGTTACATAGCTGGCACTCTAGGGAGTGTTGTGTTCTGTTTAGATGCCTATTGAGTGGAATGTGTTGTATTCTGAGTCTGAAGATGGTGGCCTGGTCCCTCCTTGTTAGATGGTTGATGCTGTCATTAGGATCAGGGCCAGCTGTATGTATGTAATCTTCCATGGCCTTTCTGTTCAGCCAGGTCTTTATTTATAGCTCTCATAAGTGCTTTTGCTGTCTGTAGGGTTGTCACTGTGGGTGGTTGTTCTTGTGTTGCTCCTTTCTTTTCCAGTCTGTTAGCTCTGTTATTACTTGGTGTGCCAAAGTGGCCTAGGATCCACTGCATCATTATTCTGATGCTGTATGAGGTAATGAGCGGATCAGCATCCAGAATTACCTTGGCTGTGTCAGTTCTGCAGCGTTCACTGCCCTTAGAGCTTGTAGAGCAGACATTGAGTAAGTCAAGATAATAATATTTTGGGCATTTGAAGGATAAACATCCATTACAGTCTTTAGGTGGTATACCGCAATTTCCAGAGCGATAATTTTGGCTTAATAATTTGAACCGTAGTAACCTATAAAGAAAATATAAACACAATCTGTACATAAGTTCTCCTTTTGGAACACTATACCAGAGCACCAATTGGCAGCAAAAAAAGATGACTTCGGAAAACAACTACTATTTTCACAAGAAATTAAATGAATTACACTCAGTTGCCTGTAATTTTTTTGTCAATGTTCCCAAATAATATGTGAATCGCACTAGACCTGATTCTGAAGAAAGTCACATTTTTTAAAACAATTTTTTGCTAATTTTTATGCCAGCTGACTTTGTTATTTTTGTACGCTTTGAACAAGGCACATATTAGAGCTATCCCTCATCAATGTTTGACTCTGTAAATGACTGAAACAAGTCTGCTTGGCAACTTTCTTTGACTGGCTTTGGATATATCTGATAAACACGTTTTTTTAAATAATTTTTTTATTTTTTATTTTTGGCTTCCAAATCCATAAATCTTTTTGGCATGCATGAGGAAGTCTCCTAGAATGCCGTTTGGTTTTCAAATAGACACTTCATAACATGCTATTTTATTTGTGCTTTTCACTATGTTTATCAGTAAATCAAATGGTTAATACGAGTGAAATTTATCACAAAGAACAGAAAATACCATTCAGCACTGCTGGTATGCGTTTTTATACTGGCAAGTGGTAAATTAAATACCTGTACATGTCACACGCGGATTGATCAGCTGGAGAGTATCCAGTTAGGCACTTGATGTGTTCCTTGGGACTGAAACAGTTGAATTAATTATCACACATTTAAAAAAAAAAAAGAGCTATGACAATGATTACAATGGAGGGATCAACATTGTTTACCCCACCTCGACTGAGCTACAACAATGATTACAATAAAGGGATCAACATTGTTTACCCCACTTGGACTGAGCTACAATAGTGATTACAATGGAGGGATCAACATTGTTTACCCCACCTCGACTGAGCTACAACAATGATTACAATAAAGGGATCAACATTGTTTACCCCACTTGGACTGAGCTACAACAATGATTACAATAAAGGGATCAACATTGTTTACCCCACTTGGACTGAGCTACAACAATGATTACAATGGAGGGATCAACATTGTTTACCCCACCTCGACTGAGCTACAACAATGATTACAATGGAGGGATCAACATTGTTTACCCCACTTGGACTGAGCTACAACAATGATTACAATGGAGGGATCAACATTGTTTACCCCACTTGGACTGAGCTACAACAATGATTACAATGGAGGAATCAACATTGTTTACCCCACCTGGACTACAAGTGGAGACCACACTTGACTGATTACTTGAACCTGTGGTTCCTTTTATTAAACTTCGTTTCTCATCTGAGGAGATGATGTATTTATTTAGTCTTTCATGTATGTATAATATTTCTACAGTTGAAAGAGATATATACATGTATATGTTTTGTAGACTGAATTGTTCAGATTGCATTGGGGATGATTTTTTTGGTTTTAAACTAACTATATGTATTCCACTAGCAGGTGATGCCAAAAGGGTATGAACCAATGAATTTTCACATTGCTGGATCATGTAATGGTGTGATCAGTTCCCTTCTTCACAGCATTTTTTTTTTGTTTACTGAGAATATTTTCTGATGCATATAAAGTTCTATTGACCCAACCTTATGTGCTAAGGAAATTATTTTTTTTTTTTTTTTTGAAACTGTTACATTTGACTGCTAGGGGGTATCAGCTTTGGATGACCTGTCTGTTTATTTGTTTCATTAAAATAGGTATGATGAATTTACTTTTCTGGAAAGTTTTCAAATGCTATAAATATAATAATTGTGGTGCTTTGAATATGTCCTTGAAAACAGTATGGCTGCTAAATCCTTTTCTCTTTCCTTTCCTCACTCCTCCCTCTTCATCCTCTCTCACCCTGTCTCTCCTTCCCCTTTTCTCTCACTCTCTCTTTGTCTCTTTCTGTCTGTCTCTCTCTTTCGTCCTGTGATGTCAAAATCCCTGGCAGTGACAGTTAAGTGTATTGTAAAATCATACTTTTATTGATCATACTTTTATTGCCTCCTGTAACTGTCCACTCTAAGTGATGACACACCCTATTTGAACACCGCTCATGTAGGATTATATAGTTACTATATTTGGCTGTTCTTAGACAGATGGGAAATTACATATAACATGATTTCTTGTTTTGTATCACTGCATTTTTTATTCATGCTTTGTTCTCTTGCTGCATATTCAATGTGAGTCAGCAAACTGGCTAAATCTGTAGTCACACATTAACAGTTTTGCCCCTAAATGCTAAAAACAAAAAAAAAGACCAAAAAAAGCTGCAGAAATTTAAAAAAAAACTATTAAAAAACGACTATTTTTACAGGTAATTAATAAATTCTTTTTTTTTATTTGTATTTAGAGATATATAAAGATATCTAAAAGGAGCAGTCTGTAACAAGAACAGAGTGAAGCATTAAATTGAATATATTTTACCGGGGCCAAAAAACAAATATGTATCAGTGACTCATCCTGGGACCTCTATCACTGAGGCTTACAGAGAAGTTTTAAGTCAACCCTGCTTTAAAAAAGTACTGAAACATTTAATTTCCTTAGACTGCTTGCTGTTCACATCACGGCATATTTCTAAGCCACTCATTGTCTTATGATACTTGTACACCGTAACATGCAGTCATATTTCTGGCTCAGCCTGTACATATTCATATACTATTAATTACCCGGTGTTGGTTCTGGGAGCCCATTTATGGGCGGGGGGTAATAGACTCACTGCCCTCTTTAACTTTTTCAGTCTCAAACAGCGCACCCGTGATAGCTGGAAATACTCATGTACACCAGTTAACATATAGGGTTATTCAGAATGATAGATACACATTCATTCATGTATGTTTCCTTGAATTTACATTACATATTAATGATGTACATGCAAGAGAGAGGGAAAGTCTAAAGTTTTGAAAACTACCCCTAGAGTGCAGTTGTTTTATCAAATACTCGAGTGCTACAGAATGCAGAAA